AACCCCTTCTTTCTAAACACAAAGCAAAGACTGATAAAGTAACAAAAAGAGAAAACTGAATTGACATAAATGGGGCTCAAAAAGGTAAGCATTTCTATTTTGGAAAGAGAATAGAACACAAAGCAGTGACTGGGGCTTATGTCTGGGAGCTTGCAGGGAAAGCATCTGAGGTTTTGGCCTCTGAGATAATGTGGAAGTGTCATTGGAATTGGGCTCATTTTTGGTACCCATGGGCCAGGGTAGGTAGGGCTCCTCTATTGAAAAAGGTATTTCTGAGTTTAGCTCTGGGGCTGCCTTTTTTTTTTTGGCCATGCCATGCAGCATACAAGATCTTAATTCCCCGACTAGGTATTGGACCTGTGTCTCCTGCATTGAGAGCACGGATTCTTAACCACTGGACCGCCAGAGAAATCCCCTGGGGCTGCCATATTATTCACCTCTATAGATCAGACTACAGTTATGCAGTGCATCTCCTGAAATAGTACACAGCACAGCCTGCATGACTGTAAGGAGTAGCTTTGTTGCTTTCTATTGCCGGAAGCCACAGTTTATACGAGGCCTTATACCTACGGATTCAGGAGAACACAAACATAGCTTTACAGCTAGAAACCTCCGAGCTTAGAGCATATTCTTACTGTTACTGCAGGACAGATCTCCTGATTTGAATAGGCCAACTGTAAGAAAAATATTTATGAGATAACTGGGGAAATCACACACTGACCAGTTGTATTAAAAAATATTAATTTTTAAAGGTGTGATTAATGGTATTGTGGCTTTGTTTAAAAAAAGTAGTAAATAGTGGGTTCTTAGTAAATGCTGGTATGTAAAACAAAAGTCTTCCATCAAAAAGTTCACCTCTAAAGCTAAGTTCTCAAACAAATTAAGTCATCTAATGCTGAGAAACATACGAAATAAAATCAACAATCAGACGAGCAGTTCACGCTGATGGCATTGCATTAAAATATGAGTCTGAAAAATATCAGATTATATATTATTTAGGATTTTCAAGGAGGTAAGTAAGTGAGTAGTATCTCTTAAAACTATATGACATACAGAGTGAAGTAAGTCAGAAAGAGAAAAACAAATACCGTATGCTAACACATACATGGAATCTAAGGGGAAAAAAAAAGATCATGAAGAACCTGGGGGTAAGACGGGAATAAGGACACAGACCTGCTAGAGAATGGACTTGAGGGTATGGGGAGGGGGAAGGGTAAGCTGTAACAAAGTGAGAGAGTGGCATGGACATATATACACTACCAAACGTGAAATAGATAGCGAGTGGGAAGCAGCTGCATAGCACAGGGAGATCAGCTCAGTGGTTTGTCACCACCTAGAGGGGTGGGATGGGGAGAGTGGGAGGGAGATGCAAGAGGGAAGAGATATGGGAACATATGTATATGTATAACTGATTCACTTTGTTATAAAGCAGAAACTAACACACCATTGTAAAGCAATTATACTCCAATAAAGATGTTAAAAAAAAACCCAACACTGTATGAAAATGACAGAAACCTTAGAAGTGAAAAGTGTGATTAAAAACAACACATGGTGTTCATGAATGGGAAGTCAGTAGGATGTCAGTCTTTTCCAGTATTAATCTGTAAAATCATTGCAATATCCATCAAAACGCCAAAAGGTTTTTTCATTGTAGCTGATATGCTGATCTTAAAATTTTTATAGAACATAACCGAAGTAACATTAAAGAGGAACAAATTTAGGTGGTATGCCCTCCAGATATCAAAACTTATAATAGAGCAGTAATAGGTAATACAGGCTTATTGATGGATAAATAGACTAGTGGAAAACAGTACAGAGCCCAGAACAGATTGATACTTATCTGGAATTTGGCACATGACAGAGGTGGCATTATAAGTCAGTGGGGAAAGATTAGACTCTTCATTGTGATGCTGGTTCATTTGCTAATCTGAATTGACTTGAAAATAATTACAAGCCCTATCTCACAGCATACATGAAAATAAGTTCTGTATGCATTAAAAGACCTACGTAAGAAAAGCAAAATTTAGGCCTTTTAGAAGAAAAGATAATAACTTTATATCCTTAGGATAAAGGAGGATTTTAAAAAACGATACCAGGAGATAATATTATGTAGGTTTTAACGCCAGACTGCCTGCTTCAAATCTCAACTTTATTACATTTGGTCAAGTTCTGAAAAATTTCTGTGTTTTCTCATTTGTAAAATGAGGATGATGATGATAAAAACAACCCTGAGAGAGGAATTGTGAGGATTAAATAATACATGTGCAATGCTTAGAAAAATGACTAGTACAGATAAGCACATAATGAGTTAACTGCAATTGTTGTTAATGTTGCTTCTTAAAAAAGAAATAATAACCTGTAAAATATTGATAAATTTATTAAAAATAAAACTTCTCTACAACAAAAGGCAACATGAACAAAATAGAAAGATAAGCTACAGAATGGTAGGAGATATTTGTCACTCATTCAGCTGAAATTGATTAATATCCAGGATATATGAAAAATCATTCAAATTAATAAGGAAAAGACAAGTCAAAGGGGAAAATGAATAAACAATCATAGCCCCAATGGCAAATGATAGGATAAGTGTTGCCCCTCCTTACTAGTCATGAAGGAAATACAAATTGAAGTAATGAAATACCTTTTTACGTTTCTTATATTGGCACAAACTCAAGTCTGACAATACTGACTTTTGGTAAGGAGGCAGAGAAACATGAGCTCTTCCTACACCAGCTGTGAAATAGTCAGTTGGTACAACTGCTTTGGAGAGCATTTTGTTAATATCTAGTAAAGTTGAAGGTGCTTAAAACCCAGCAATTTCACTCTTGGGTCTACAGTCCAGAGAAATTTTAGCAAAGGTACATGAAGAGACATGTATGAGAATTGCAGCATTGCTTTAACAGTGTAATACTGGAAACATTTTAAGCATTCAATGGAAGGATTTAGTGTAGTAGATTGATAAATTGTGGTTTAATTAAGAGTAGATTGATAAATTGTAGTATAAGCATACAATGGGAGTTTTTGAAAAATAGACTTTATTTTTTAGGACAGTGTTAGGTTCGCAGCAAAATTGAGTGGAAAGTACAGAGATTTCCCGTACATCTCCTGCCTGCCCCCACGTATGCATAGCCTCACCCATTATCAGCATCTCCCACTAGAGTGGTACATTTGTTACAATTAATGAGCCAACATACCATGTCATATTGCTTGGCAGTTAATGAACGTTACATGTATCAGCATTTATAAATAGAAAAGACAATGTTAAGTTACAGTGAGATGCAGACTATTTAGTATAGCATTTTTTTTAAAGCTTAAAAATTGGAAATGATACTATCTATAATTTATGGGAACCCACATATGTAGTAAAAATATAAAAGCATGTATGGGAATAATACCAACCTCAGGATAATGGTTACCTCTGCAGAGCAAAGGAAGGAGCTTTAATTATCTCTAATATTTTGTTTGTTTATAAAATAATCTGGAGTGATTACAGCAGTTTTCAAACGGTGAATTTGGGTAGTAGATTTATGGCTGTTTTTTATATGTTCTATAGTATTCTCTGCTTTTGAAAGATCATCTAGGAAAAAGGTAAACAGAGTATCTTCATTAGAGAGGACTTTGACAAAAGTAGTGTAGTAGTCTGAGGGAAGCAACTGAAGGTATTTTTCTTTTTTAAAAAAAGAACAGCATCTATATGTTAAAGGATGCAATAAGTGAAAAGGGAAAGATGGATAGCATATGGGAGCTGTTTTTTTTTTTGTTTGTTTGTTTGTTTGTTTTTTTTGCGGTACGCAGGCCTCTCACTGTTGTGGCCCCTCCCGCTGCGGAGCACAGGCTCCGAACGCGCAGGCTCAGCGACCATGGCTCACGGGCCCAGCCGCTCCGCCGCATGTAGGATCCTCCCAGACCTGGGCACGAACCCGTGTCCCCTGCATCGGCAGGTGGACTCTCAACCACTGTGCCACCAGGGAAGCCCTGGGAGCTGTTTTTTGATGGGGCAAGATACTGATGGAGATGCTAAGAAATGGGAAGGATCTGGAACATTTTCTCTGTAGACAGAAATGGAAGAACAGAGATGAGATGAACATAGGAATACATTTTGAGTTGGAGAAGTCATTTAAAAGAAATCACTGTTTTCTGAGTTAGGTATAAAAGTTGAAATCATTCTTTCAGATGTGTGATATATGTGGGGTTTGAGAAAATTGGAGAGTATGCAGAATACTTGTAAGAAATGAAATAAAGTTAGATAAAAAGGCAGCATTGAAGGAAAAGGGAGGGTTGAATAAAATTTGTAATGGTGCCTAGTTGTATAATTTTGTCAGCTTTGTTCAGCAAGCCAGGGGCAGGATCAATTTTGTTGCTCCCTTTACATCTTCACCTTAAGGGAGGCAGAGTCCAGAAGTCCTTGAAAATATGTCTGTTCTATAGCAGGTTTCTCTCATTGTTTTCTTGGTTATAACTTCATCTAGTTTAATTTCTGTTTATCTGATCTCATCTTCTTACTGTTTTTAATTTCACAAATTTTTGCTCTATTGATGCACTCTTTCTCCGTTTTGCTTTAACCTTAAGAGCTTTTGGGTGTGGGGTGATAAAATTTGTGTGACTGTTCTGTCCATCTTAAGCCAGTCTTCAATGAGGCTCTTTTCATATATAAAGAAAGAACTTGATTCTATTCCCAGGTACCTTAGAAACATTCAAGATAGTAGAGGACAAATTAATTTTTATTTTTACTCTTTGGGTTTTGAATTATTAATATAACAAAAGGCTGGAAAAATTTTGGCTGTTTTGGGAAGTGTGCAGATTTGGACAATAATATGAAATATTATGTGATCTCAACGAGACTGTCTTCAAGAACGGTTCTTATACTAAGAGAAGAGTTAGGATTTTTTGGTCCTAAAAGGTGTAATCAACTTGATTGTTAAGCCTCTTTTTTTTGAGCTTCAGAAAGCAGTGACTGTGTAATGTGACTTCTTAATGTTTCACATCTTTTATGTTGCAGCAGTTCTTTTGCCATGAAAATGATTTGTGCAGTCTTGAACACATACTATCCATGCTGATGGGACAGGATCCAATATGAATATAAATGATGGAGGAAGACGACGCTTTGAGGATAATGAACATATATTGCGTATATATCCTGGGACAATTTCAGAAGGGACAATCTACTGTCCAATTCCTGCCAGAAAAAACTCCACGGCTGCTGAGGTGATTGACTCTCTTATAAACAGACTTCATCTTGACAAAACAAAATGTTATGTTCTAGCAGAGGTAAAAGAATTTGGTGGAGAAGAATGGATACTCAATCCAACAGACTGTCCAGTTCAGCGAATGATGTTGTGGCCCCGAATGGCTCTGGAAAATCGCCTGAGTGGAGAGGACTACCGTTTTCTTCTGAGAGAAAAAAACCTTGATGGATCAATCCATTATGGTAGTCTTCAGTCATGGCTACGGGTAACAGAAGAACGTCGCAGGATGATGGAACGGGGTTTTCTTCCACAGCCTCAACAAAAAGACTTCGATGATTTATGTAGCTTACCTGATTTGAATGAGAAAACTCTCTTAGAAAACCTACGAAATCGCTTTAAGCATGAAAAAATTTACACCTATGTTGGCAGTATTCTAATAGCTATTAACCCATTCAAGTTTCTTCCTATTTATAACCCCAAATATGTCAAAATGTATGATAACCACCAGTTGGGAAAACTTGAGCCTCACATTTATGCTGTGGCTGATGTAGCTTATCATGCCATGCTTCAGCGCAAAAGGAATCAGTGCATCGTGATTTCAGGAGAGAGTGGTTCTGGGAAGACTCAAAGCACAAACTTTCTTATTCATCACCTTACTGCGCTCAGTCAGAAAGGATTTGCCAGTGGAGTGGAACAAATTATTCTTGGAGCTGGACCAGTACTTGAGGTAAGTGTGTAGAAATACTTTTCTTACTCTTAAACATATCTTTAAAAAAATTAAAATTTGTTAGATGTGAGAAAATGAAATGAAACTAAATAGAAGTATAGACATCATTTTTAGTTACCAAGGAAAACTGGAAGATAGGAAACCAAAAAAAGGCAGTGTGGAAGATTGAAAGGTGTGACAGTGGCAATATTTTTTTCAAAGGATGTCTTTGGGCCGTTTCAAAGGATGCAAAGGAAAGTTGATTGGAGTCAGATATATCCCTCTGTAAAGGGAGATAGCAGGGGCAGGACTCCTGTCTGTATTGGATTGTGGAAATAGGTAGTTGGGGAATATAGTCTTGTCAATATATTTTTATCTTTGCAGTCTTAAAATCTGTGCCTAGGATTGAAATTCTAAGGGTTCATTTTTGAAAATGCAGAGAATACGGGAAAAATTTTTTAGTTCTAAGTTTTAGAAGTAATACCATCAAGGGTAGAAAGGAAAGAGAATACACTATTTTTGTTTTAGAGCTGAAAGGAAAGGTAATATTACTTGTTTTTTGAAAGAGATTTTTGTGAGGTATAATTGCACATATTTAAAGTGTACAATTGGATAAATTTGACATATGTATTGATATATACCCATGAAACCACCACCACAGTCAAGATACTGAACATATCCATTATCCCTAAAGTTACCTTTGTAATGCCTCTTTCTCACCCTTTCTAGCCCACTCATTTATAAGAAACCACTTATGTGCTTTCTGTCACTGTAGGTTAGTCTGTACATTCTGTAATTTTATATAAATGGAATCATGTAGTATGTACTGTTTTATGTTTGACTTCTCTTACTTGGTTTAATTATTTTGTGTGTGTGTCAATAATTGATTCCTTTTGCTAAGACAGTATTCCATTGTATGGATATACCACACTTTGTTTATTCATTCATCTTTTGATGGACATATACGTTGTTTCCAGTTTTTGGCTATAACACATAAAGTATTCAAGTTTTTGTGTGGACATATGCTGTCTTTTCTCTTGGGTAAATAGCTAGGAGTGGAATGACTGGGTCATATGATAGGTATCTGTTTAACTTTTTAAGAAACTGCCAAACTTATGTATAAATTTTACATACTATTTTATATTCCCACCAAACAGTATGTACAGTGTCAGTTATTCCATATCTCTGCTAACCCTTGATATAGTCATTCTTTCTAATTTTAGCCATTCAAATAGGTATACAATGGTATCTCATGATTTTAATTTGCATTCTATAATAACTAATGATGTGAGCACCTTTTCATGTGTTTATTTGCAACCTATATATGTTCCTTGGTGAAGTGTCTGTCAAAATCTATTGCCCAACTTGTTATTGCTGTGTTTTGAGAGTTCTTTGTGTATGCTGGGTGCAGATCCTTTACAGACATGTTTTGAAAATATATATACATTTTTCCCAGGTTTAACCCTCTCTTTTTTAAAATTTAAATTTTTAAATTTTAAAATTTTTTTACTGAAGTATAGTTGATTTACAATGTTATGTTAGTTTCGGATATACAGCAAAGTGATTCAGTTATACATATACATACATATTCTTTTTCACATTCTTTTCCATATGGTTTATTACAGGATATTAAATATAGTTTCTTGTACTATACAGTAGGACCTTGTTGTTTATCTATTTTATATATAGTATATAGTTTGTGTCTGCTAATCCCAAAGTCCTAATTTATCCCTCTTCCACTCCCTTTCCCGTTTGGTGTAACCATAAGTTTGTTTTCTATGTCTATAAGTCTTGTTTCTTAGCAGTCAGAAACTTCCAAAAAAAAAAAAAAAATTGCCCAGGACCAGATGACTTCACTGATGAATTCTACTAAACATTTAAAGAAGAATTAACACAAATCCTTCAAAAATTCTTCCAAGAAATAGAACAGGAGGGAGGAACACTTTCTAATTTTATAAGGCCCAAAATATTTCACTGATACCAAAATTAAACAAAGACACCACAACAAAAGAAAATTACAGACCGATATCCCTTGAAACACAAACATTCTTAAAGAAATACTGGCAAACTTAATTCAGCAAAATATAAAAAGAAGTATACACCATGGTAAAGTAGGATTTATATTAAGGAATGAAAGTTTGGTTAAACAATACAAAAATAAATGTATTATACAATATTAATAGACTAAAGGACAAAAGCCACACCATCATCAGAATAGATACAGAAAAAGTATTTGACAAAAACAACACCCTTTCATGATTAAAAAAACAAAACAAATAAAGAAAACCACACTCTCAACAAACTAGGAATAGGAAGGAACTTTCTCTATCTGATTAAAAACACCTATTAAAAATTATAGGTTAACAACATACTTAATGGTGAAAGACTGAAAGCTTTCTCCCTTTGGTCAGAAAGAAGACACAGATGTCTGCTCTCACCATTTCTTTTTTTTTTTAATATTTATTTTATTTGGGTGCACTGGGTCTTAGTTGTGGCTCGCAGGCTTCTTAGTTGCGGCTCGCCAACTCCTTAGTTGTAGCTCTCTGACTCTTTGGTTGTGGCATGTGGGCTACTGAGTTGCGGCATGTGGACTCCTTAGTTGTGGCACGTGGACTCCTTAGTTGTGGCAGGAGGTCTCCTTAGTTGCAGCGTGTGGACTCCTTAGTTGCAGCTTGCCAGTTCCTTAGTTGTGGCATGTGAACTCTTAGTTGCGACATGCATGTGGGATCTAGTTCCCTGACCAGGGATCGAACCTGGGCACCCTTCATTGGTAGCATGGAGTCTTAACCACTGCATCACCATTTATTTTTTTTCCTTTTTTTCTCTTTCTCGCTCCCTTTTTTGGTACTGAAATATAGTTGATTTATAATGTTGTGTTACTTTCTGGTGGTGTACAACAGAGTGATTCACTTATACATATCTATACATATTCTTTTCCATCATAGGTTATTACAAGATATGAATATAGTTAGTTCCCTGTGCTATACAATAGGTCCTTGTTGTTTATTTATTTTATATGTAGTAGTGTGTATCTGCTAATCTCAAATTCCAAATTTATCCCTCTCCCACCCCCTTTCCTCTTTGGTAAACACAAATTTGTTCTCCATGCCTGTGAGTCTGTTTCTGTTATGTAAGTAAGTTTATTTGTGTCATATTTTAGATTCTACATATAAGTGGTATCACATGATACTGCTATCTTTCTCTTTCTGACTTCACTTAGCATGATAATCTCTAGGTCCATCCATGTTGTTGCAAATGGCATTATTTCATTCTTTTTTATGGCCGAGTAGTATTCCATTTTGTATATATACCACATCTTTATCCATTCTTCTGTCCATGGACATTTAGGTTGTTTCCATGTCTTGGCTATTTTAAGTGGTGCCACTATGAATATAAGGGTGCATGTATCTTTTTGAATTAGAGTTTTCTCCAGACATATGCCCAGGAGTGGGATTGGTGGATCACATGGCAACTCTATTTTTTAGGTTTTTTTTTTTAACAAACACACCTGTAGGAAAAGGTTGTTCTCAGTGAGTGATCTTCAAGTCAGGTCACAGAAAGATAGCCCTTTGAATGAGGTTTTCTAGGAAAATGCCAAATAGGTCAAATTGTGAGTTATCTGTGGGACAAGGCTTTAACTCTAACCCTAGTTTGATCTTTCTAGTGGCTTCTAGGCTAGACTGCTTTTTCTAAAAAACCACTGTAATTGTAGGGTGTCAGTTTTCTCTTCAGTGTGGAGCTAGGGAGAGGGAATTGGTAATTAGGTAAGTTAAAATGACACCAATACCTGCTTTTCTTACCGAGATCCAGCTGTTTTCCTTGATTAAATGTTCTTCTACAAAGGATTATTCCAAGCCCTTGTTAATTTCTAGAATCATCAAAAAGTTGATGTTACTTTTGACAAATAACAATTTTTGTTAGTCTTATTTGTTTTATGAAGGGGAGAGGAATTTCAGAGATCTTTACCATTTTCTCTGATCTCATTCTCAGTAATCTTTTCAAGAGGTCTAAGTAATAAAATGTATTTTGTATATTTACTCATGTGGTTACTATTTCTCCTGTTCTCTATTCCTCACGTTGATCCATATTTGAACATGATAGCATTTTCCTTCTGCATGAAGGACTTCCTTAGTTCTTTTAGTGTGGGTTCACTTATGATGAATATTTTCAGATTTGTATATCTGAAATTGTCTTTTATTTGCCTTTATTTTTTAATGAGTTACTTTAAAAAGTAGATATTAAACTTAAAAGAAATAACTTTACAGTAAAATTCTATGAATTGTAAACATATTAATTTGTGTAACCATTTATGGGTGTAGGTACAGAGTAGTTCCACTACTGCATGAAACTCCCTCATGCTATTCCTTATCTTCATACCCTCTGCCCTCCCATACTCCCATAACTTGTGGGAACTACTTGTTTGTTCTTCATTGCTGGTTGTTGTTGTTTTTTTTTTTCAAAATGTCATGTAAATGGAATCATACAGTATGTAGTGTTTGGAGACTGGCTTCTTTTATTCAGCATTATGTCTTGAAGTTTTCATTTAAGTTGTTGAATATGTGAGTTCAACAGTGGGTTCTTTCTTTTAAATTTAAATTTAAATTTTATTGAGCTATAACTTGAAATAAAATATAGCCATTTAAAATGTATGGTTTAGTGAATTTTGATAAATGCATATACCCTGTAACCACCATCATACAATCAAGCATAGAATATTTTCATTACCCCTTGTGTCCCTTTGTAGACATTTCCCACCCCCATCCCCATTCCCAGACAGCTTCTAATCTGCTTCTTGTTACTCTTGTTTTGACTTTTCTAGAATTTCATATGTACTCTTGTGTATGGTTTCTTCCACTTAGCATAATGTTTGTCAGTGGTGATGTCTGTATCAGTAGTTCCTTCTTTATTGCTAGGTAATATTTCATTGCATGGTATATACTTTTGGTTATAACTTAGGAAACATATATTTTTCATTCTTTCTAAGATAGTACTGTCATTTTGTTTTAAGTAGATATAATAAAGCATAGTACATTATGTAATGAAACTTTATTTCCTTTATACTGTTCTAGAATTGTAATTCTTTTGATGTAATTATTCTTTTCCTAGCCCATTGCTATTTCAGTTAAGCAAAATTTTAAAAATATATATGTATAAATATATCAAGAATATTTGCTGGCTCTGGAATGTGAAAGTGAAATCTGATTTGTAATGAGCAATAAATTTTTAAAATTAAGATTTATTTTACGGAATAGCATAAAATGCTGTCTACTTGGTTTCATTTCAAATATTAGTTGCTTTCTTTTACTTTACCTGAACTATGAAAGTGAATTGATTTTCTGCTATCTCTTTAACATTATTTTATCTTTGAGCTGATCTAAGCAGGATTTTCCATTTTTAAAAAATAAAATTAATGAGAACTCTTTATTTTGACAGGCCTTTGGAAATGCGAAGACAGCTCATAATAACAATTCAAGTCGTTTTGGCAAGTTTATTCAAGTAAATTACCAAGAAACAGGCACTGTACTTGGGTAAGTAGCAGTAGCAGGCTTTGGAGCATGTTTATATTTTTGCCATTGCCCCTTCATAAACCATAGGTTGTTCATTTGCTTTTTAATGAGAATAGTGACATTAGTGTTTTTTCTTCTCAATTATTTCTTTCTTTTGGAAAAGTTCAAACCTGAGAAAAGTTCAAAGAATAGTGTAACTCCCATATACCCTTAACTTAGCTTTATAAGTTTTTAACAATTATATGCATTTGCTTTATCTTTCTATATTATTTCTGCATTCATTTTTTTAAAAATTGTTTTTGAGTAAGTTGGGCAGGTAACTTGACCCCCTAATTACTATATTTCCTAAAGCAACCACAATGACATTTTCCTACTTAATACTATTTTTTAAAAAAATATCTTTATTGGAGTGTAATTGCTTTACAATGTTGTGTTAGTTTCTGCTGTACAACAAACCGAATCAGCTATATGTATGCATATATCCCCATATCCCCTCCCTCTTGAGCCCTAATACTATTTTATACTTAAGATATTTAATTTTGTCATAATAATAATTCTTATTATACAGTCTGTGATCAGAGTCCTCTGGTTGTGCCAGCAATATTCTTTATAACTTTAAAAAAACTTAATAGACTATTTTTAGAACAGTTTTAGGTTTATGACAAAAATGAATAGAAAGTACAGAGTTCCCATATACCTCTTCACCCTGTCCCCCAGTTTCCCCTCTTAATAATATCTTGCATTAGTGTGTTCCATTTGTGTTGTACCTTGAATGGGCTTTGACAGATGTTAAAAGGTATGTATTCACCCAGACAGTATTATATGGAATAGTTTCACTGCCCTAAAAATCCCTGTGCTCCACCTGTTCATCCCTTCCCACCCACTAAGCTTTGGCATCCACTGACCTTTTCACTGTCTTAATAGGTTTGCATTTTCCAGAATGTCACATGGTTGGAATTATATAGTATATAGCCTTTACAGATTGAATTCTTTGCTCCTTAGCAATAGGTTTTGAAGGATCTTTCATGTCTTTCATGGCTTGGTTTTATTGGACTAATAAATTTTTGGATAATTGACATCTTTATACTTTTTAGAAGTGTTTTTAGTTTCCTTACGTTTCTTGTTGAGTTTATTCCTAAGTATCTTATTTTATTTTTAATGTTGTTATTAAAGTGTGATTTTTCTCTTGCATTATATCTTCTAAAATTGCACATTATTTGTATATGTGAAGGCTACTGATTTTTATACTAATTTTGTATCTTGTTATCTTACTGAATTATTTTATTGTTCATATTAGTTTTACTGTTGTTTCTCTTAATATTTCTAGGTGTATTGTCATATCTGCATAAATAAATACTTTAAATTTTTTTCCTGTTCCTTATATCTCTGATTATTTTCTATCTTGTCTGATTACATACTCCTATACTGTGATAATATTGTTTTAGACCTTTGTGTGAATGCCTTTAATTTTCTTCACTAAGTAAAATACTGGCTTTAGGACATTTTATTGTTAATGAATTAAACATTGATTTTAATTTTCTTTGAGTGTTTTTGTCAGTAACGGCTATTGTGTTTTATCAAAGGCCTTTTTGGCATCTATGGAAATTAGCTTTATCTTCATTTTGGGATCTATTAATATTATCATTATTTTGCATTCCTGGGGAAAAAATATCCGACTTGGTCAATACAAAGACACAAACACACACAGACATACACACACAGACATATTTATACACATACATATGTAAACTGGTTGTTGTGTTCTGCTTGCTAGTTTTTATTTAGGATTTTTGTATCCATATTAATAAGTGCTATGTACTCACCCTCTATGTGAGTTCTTCCTTACGTCCTTTTTCCTTCTTGGATTGAATCTTATGTGTCTCTCTTGGTACATCCATAATATTCTGGTCATTGCTGTAAAATAAACCCTATCAACTCAGCATGATAGCTGCTGGTTTACCTGTTTTCTCCACTAGTTTGTAAGCCCCTTGAGGACAGGTAGTATATCACTTATTTCTGTATTTGAACAGTGCTTAGCACAGTGCCCAGTTAATGAATACTTACTGAGTAAATTGGTAAATAATAAACTTATTTACCAGAATTTATTCCAGAATGTGGCAACAGCATGGATATATAAAAAAAGTATATCTTTGAGCCTTATTTAGTAGTATGGTCAAACTGTAATATCTGAAAGGATGTCCAGTGGTATTGAGCCTAGAAAGAAAATAAAGTCTTTGTCACGGGAGGGTCTTATGTGCCATGTTTTGAACTTCTGACTTTATTTTGCTTTATTGAAAGAAAAAAAAAGACTTAGGAGTTTATGAACTTAATGTGGATGACACTAACAGTGTCCATAACACAATTATAGTGGTAAATGTACTCTGGAAGGCAGCTATGCTCACCACTATACCACCAACACCAGTGCTACATGTACTCTGGATAGTATTCTTTATACTTTTGCATCTTCTCTGATAAAATATTTGTCTACTTTATATTAAGCTTTATTGTTTAGATCAATCAATTTTATTTTTCTTCTAGTGCCTATGTTGAAAAGTATCTACTGGAGAAGTCCAGACTCGTTTATCAAGAGCATAATGAACGGTACATATTTTAATTTGTGTAATTAGATTGAGTTAACATTTGTATCATGTAGATTGACTTTTCAGATCTTTGTATATTATGACCTTTAACTCAGTTTATACCATGTATAACTTTATATATAATTGCTATTTCTCTCATGGGCAGAATACTGTACTTTTTAAGAAGCTGCTAGGAGGTCTTTTTTTTTAACGGGTATATAGAAATGTTGTCCTTTCTAAATTCTAGGCAAACTATCAGAACGGGAAAATAGTGGTATCTCAGGTGGTATCGTTTTGTGAGCGTTTTGCCTTTGGACCTTTTGTCACATCTTGATGTTCTTTCTCTAATTTGAGAAAAGTTTTGAATAAAGCTCTTAATTTCATTGTAATCTTTGAGGTATATGGAATTTCAGAGATGACATATATGTAACTTTCTTTAGATGAGGAAGCCAGATATCAGAGAGGTAAATGATTTGCTTCATGTTATAATGAGACAAAATGAAGAGCCAGAGTTTGAAGTTAAACAAACCTATATTCAAATATTGGATGTGCTTTTGGCGTATCACCTAACTTCTCTGCTTCTTATATACTTTTTCTCATTTTGCAGATGGAAAACTATCCTAAAAGCTGTTTAGAGGATTAAATGAAATAATGTTTATAAAATGCTCAGTGTAGTCCTTATATATAATAAAATTTTATTAAACAATATCATAATTAATTACCTGTAAGCTTAGGACTAGAACTCATACTTTTCTGTTAATTTTTTTGTGGCTAGCTGATGAGGAAATCTGAATTAGAGATGTTTCAGAATGAAGAGAAGAGCGTTTGGGAAGAGAATAGCCTCCTAAAGACTTGTAGAGCTAACAGATACGGCTATTAGAAGGTTATTAGTAACTTTTTCTAACACATTTTGATAGAGTGGTAGTGATATAAGCCTGGTTTCCTTGGTTTTGAAGAATCAATGGCAGGAGAAGATCCAGAGCTTATATAAACTGATTCTCTGTTATCTTGCTAGATTTGATTTGTGGATGTATGTATAATACTTACTGCATGTTGCTGGATTTGGCTTGCTAGTATTTTTTTTTAACATTTTTATTGGAATATAATTGCTTTACAATGGTGTGTTATCTTCTGCTGTGTAACAAAGTGAATCAGTTATACATATACATATATCCCCATATCTCTTCCCTCTTGTGTCTGCCTCCCTCCCACCCTCCCTATCCCACCCTTCTAGCTAGTCACAAAGCACTGAGCTGATCTCCCTGTGCTATGCGACTGCTTCCCACTATCTATTTTACATTTGGTAGTGTATATATGTCCATATATGAAATCATGTGATTTTTCTCCTTCAATTTGTTAATATGGTGTATCACATTGATTGATTTGCATATGTTGAAGAATCCTTGCATTCCTGGGATAAACCCCACTTGATCATGGTGTATGATCCTTTTAACATGCTGTTGGATTCTGTTTGCTAGTATTTTGTCGAGGATTTTTGCATGTATGTTCATCAGTGATATTGGTCTGTAGTTTTCTTTTTTTGTGACATCTTTGTCTGGTTTTGGTATCAGGGTGATGGTGGCCTCATAGAATGAGTTTGGGAGTGTTCCTTCCTCTGCTATATTTTGGAAGAGTTTGAGAAGGATAGGTGATAGCTCTTCTCTAAATGTTTGAAAATGCCTGTGAAGCCATCTGGTCCTGGGCTTTTGTTTGTTGGAAGATTTTTTTTTTTTTTTTTTTTTTGGCCTGTAGTTTTCTTTCTTTGTGACATCCTTGTCTGGTTTTGGTATCAAGGTGATGGTGGCCTCGTAGAATGAGTTTGGGAGTGTTCCTCCCTCTGCTATATTTTGGAAGAGTTTGAGAAGAATAGGTGTTAGCTCTTCTCTAAATGTTTGATAGAATTCGCCTGTGAAGCCATCTGGTCCTGGGCTTTTGTTTGTTGGAAGATTTTTAATCACAGTTTCAATTTCAGTGTTTGTGATTGGTCTGTTCATATTTTCTATTTCTTCCTGATTCAGTCTTGGTAGTTTGTGCATTTCTAAGAATTTGTCCATTTCTTCCAGATTGTCCATTTTATTGGCATAGAGTTGCTTGTAGTAATCCCTCATGATTTTTTGTATTTCTGCAGTGTCAGTTGTTACTTCTCCTTTTTCATTTCTAATTCTATTGATTTGAGTCTTCTCCCTTTTTTTCTTGATGAGTCTGGCTAATGGTTTATCAATTTTATTTATCTTCTCAAAGAACCAGCTTTTAGTTTTATTGATCTTTGCTATCGTTTCCTTCATTTCTTTTTCATATATTTCTGATCTGATCTTTATGATTTCTTTCCTTCTGCTAACTTTGGGGATTTTTTGTTCTTCTTTCTCTAATTGCTTTAGGTGTAAGGTTAGGTTGTTTATTTGAGAGTTTTCTTGTTTCTTGAGGTAGGATTGTATTGCTATAAACTTCCCTCTTAGAACTGCTTTTGCTGCATCCTGTAGGTTTTTGGCCGTCGTGTTTTCATTGTCATTTGTTTGTAGGTATTTTTTTATTTCCTCTTTGATTTCTTCAGTGATCCATTGGTTATTTAGTAGCTTATTGTTTAGCCTCCATGTGTTTGTATTTTTTACAGTTTTTTTTCCTGTAATTGATATCTAGCCTCATAGCATTGTGGTCGGAGAAGATACTTGATATGATTTCAGTTTTCTTAAATTTACCAAGGCTTGATTTGTGACCCAAGATATGATCTATTCTGGAGAATGTTCCATGAGCACTTGAGAAGAAAGTATATTCTGTTGTTTTTGGTTGGAACGTCCTATAAATATCAATTAAGTCCATCTTGTTTAATGTATCATTTAAAGCTTGTGTTTCCTTATTTATTTTCATTTTGGTTGATCTGTCCATTGGTGAAAGTGGGGTGTTAAAAGTCCCCTACTATGATTGTGTTACTGTAAATTTCCCCTTTTGTGGCTGTTAGCATTTGCCTTAAGTTTTGAGGCTCTCCTATGTTGGGTGCATAAATATTCACAATTTTTATATCTTCTTCTTGGATTGTTCCATTGATCATTATGAAGTGCCTTCTTTGTCTCTTGTAATAGTCTTTACTTTAAAGTCTATTTTGTCTGATATGAGAATTGCTACTCCAGCTTTCTTTTGATTTCCATTTGCATGGAATGTCTTTTTCCATCCCTTCACTTTTAGTCTGTATGTGTCCCTAGGTCTGAAGTAGGTCTCTTATAGACAGCATATATATAGGTCTTGTTTTTGTATCCATTCAGCCAGTGTATGTCTTTTGGTTGGACCATTTAATCCATTTACATTTAGGGTAGTTATTGATATGTATGTTCCTATTACCATTTTCTTAATTGTTTTGGATTTGTTATTGTAGGTCTTTTCCTTCTCTTGTGTTTCCTGCCTAGAGAAGTTCCTTTAGCATTTGTTGTAAAGCTGGTTTGGTGGTGCTGAATTCTCTTAGCTTTTGCTTGTCTGTAAAGGTTTAAATTTCTCCGTCAAATCTGAATGAGCTCCTTGCCGGGTAGAGTAATCTTGGTTGTAGGTTTTTCCCTTTCATTACTTTAAATGTGTCCTGCCACATCCTTCTGGCTTGCAGAGCTTCTGCTGAAAGATCAGCTGTTAAACTTACGGGGATTCCCTTGTATGTTATTTGTTGCTTTTCCCTTGCTGCTTTTAATAACTTTTCTTTGTATTTAATTTTTGATAGTGTGATTAATATGTTTCTTGGCATGTTTCTCCTTGGATTTATCCTGTATGGGACTCTCTGTGCTTCCTGGACTTGATTATTTCCTTTCCCATATTATGGAAGTTTTGAACTATAATCTCTTCAGATATTTTCTCAGTCCCTTTCTTTTTCTCTTCTTCTTCTGGGACCCCTGTAATTCGAATGTTGGTGCGTTTAATGTTGTTCCAGAGGTATCTGAACCAGTCCTCAATTCATTTCATTTTTTTTTCTTTATTCTGCTCTGTGGTAGTTATTTCCACTATTTTATCTTCCATGTCACTTATCTGTTCTTCTGCCTCAGTTGTTCTGCTATTGATTGCTTCTAGAGAATCTTTAATTTCATTTTTTGTGTTGTTCTTCATTGTTTGTTTGTTCTTTAGTTCTTCTAGGTCCTTGTTAAACGTTTCTTATATTTTCTTTCGTTCTATTTCCAAGATTTTGGTCATCTTTACTGTCATTACTCTGAATTCTTTTTCTGGTAGACTGCCTATTTCCCCTTCATTTGTTTGGCCTGGTGGGTTTTTACCTTGCTCCTTCATCTGCTGCATATTTCTCTGTCTTCTCATTTAGCTTCACTTACTGTATTTGGCGTCTCCTTTTCGCAGGCTGCAGGTTTGTAGTTCCCATTGTTTTTGGTGTCTGCCCCCACTGGGTGAGGTTGGTTCAGTGGCTGGTGTAGACTTCCTGGTAGAGGGGACTGGTGCCCATGTCCTGGTGGCTGGGGCTGAATTTTGTCTTTCTGGTAGGCAGGACCACATCTGGTGGTGTGTTTTGGGGTGTCTGTGAACTCATTATGACTTTAGGCAGTCTCTTTGCTAATGGGTGGGGTTGTGTTCCTATCTTGCTTGTTGTTTGGCATGGGGTGTCCAGCACTGTAGCTTGCTGGTCGTTGAGTGGAGCTGGGTCTTAGCATTGAGATGGAGATCTCTAGGAGAGCTCTTGCCGATTGATATTATGTGGGGCCGGGAGGTCTCTGGTGATCCAATGTCCTGAACTCGGAACTCAGCTCTCCCACCTCTGAGGCTCAGGCCTGACACCCAGCTGGAGCACCAAGACCCTGTTAGCCACACGGCTCAGAAGAAAAGGGAGAAAAAGAAAGAAAGAAAGAAAAAATAAAGTAAAATTATTAAAATAAAAAAAAATTTTTTAATTATTAAAATAAAAAAGTAATAAAAAAACGAAAATCAGAGAGCAGCCAAACCAGTAAACAAATCCACCAATGATAACAAGCACTAAAAGCTAAACTAAGATAAACATGTACATCAGAAACTAGTCAGTTGTGTACAGCAAACCCCAGGTCTACAGTTACTCCCAAAGTCCACCGCCTGAATTTTGGGGTGATTCATTGTCTATTCAGGTATTCCACAGATGCAGGGTACATCAGGTTGATTGTGGAGATTTAGCCTGCTGCTCTTGAGGCTGCATGGAGAAATTTCCCTTTCTCTTTGTTCGCACAGCTCCCAGGGTTCAGCTTTGGATTTGGCACTGCCTCTGCGTGTAGGTTCCCCTCTGACGTCTGTTCTTCGTCCAGATGAGGGGCGGTTAAAATAGCGACTGATTAGGGGGCTGTGGCTCACTCAGACCGGGGGGAGGGAGGGGTACAGAATGTTGGGTTAGGTTGAGGTGACAGAGGCCGGCATGACGTTGCAACAGCCTGAGGCATGCCATGTGTTCTTCTGGATAAGTTGTCCTTGGATCACAGGACCCTGGCAGTGGCGGGCTGCACAGGCTCCCAGGAGGGGAGGTGTGGATAGTGACCTGTACTTGCACACAGGCTTCTTGGTGGCTGCAGCAGCAGCCTTAGCGTTTCATGCCCGTCTCTGGGGTTCGCACTGATAGCTGCAGCTTGCGCCTGTCTCTGAAGCTCGTTTAGGTGGTGCTCTGAATCCTCTCTCCTCTCACACCCCGAAACAATGGTCTCTTGCCTCTTAGGCAGGTCCAGAGTTTTTCCCGGACTCCCTCCTGGCTAGCTGTGGCGCACTAGCCTCCTTCAGGCTGTGTTCACGCAGGCAACTCCAGTCCTCTCCCTGGGATCTGACCTCCGAAGCCCAACCCTCAGCTCCCAGCCCCCACCCACCCTGGTGAGTGAGCAGACAAGCCTCTCAGGCTGGTGATTGCTGGTCAGCACCGATCCTCTGTGCGGGAATCTCTCCGCTTTGCCCTCTGCACCCCTATTGCTGTGCTCTCCTCCTTGGCTCCGAAGCTTCCCCCTCCCCACCCCCTGGTTCCACCAGTGAAGGGGCTTCGTAGTGTGTGGAAACCTTTCCTCCTTCACGACTCCCTCCCAGAGTCACAGGTTCTGTCCCTATTCTTTTGCCTCTGTTTTCTCTTTTTCCTTTTGCCCTACCCAGGTACGTGGGGAATTTCTTGCCTTTTGGGAAGTCTGAGTTCTTCTGCCAGCATTCAGTAGGTGGTCTGTAGGAGTTGTTCCACATGTAGATGTATTTTTGATGTATTTGTGGGGAGGAAGGTGATCTCCACATTTTACTGCTCCGCCATCTTGAAGGTCCTCTCTGCTATTTCTTTCTTTCTTTCTTTCTTTTTTTTTTTTTTTGCGGTATGTGGGCCTCTCACTGTTGTGGCCTCTCCCGTTGTGGAGCACAGGCTCCGGGCGCGCAGGCTCAGCGGCCATGGCTCATGGGCCCAGCCGCTCCGCGGCACGTGGGATCTTCCCAGACCGGGGCACGAACCGATGTCGCCTGCATCGGCAGGTGGACTCTCAACCACTGCACCACCAGGGAAGCCCTGCTATTTATTTATTAATGCTTAATTGAATCTCGTCTAGTTTCATTTCAGCCAGAGAAACTCCCTGTAGCATTTTTTATGGGGCCCATCTGTTAGCTCTGAAGTATATTAATTTTTGTTTATCTGGGAATATCCTAATTTCTCCTTTATTTTTGAAGGATAGTTTTGCTGGATATGTAATTCTTGATTTTCTTTTTCTTTTAGTACTTTGAATCTGTTTCCTTTCCATGGTTCCTGATGAGAAATCATTTGGTAATCTTATATTATGATCCCTTGATGAGGCATTTCTCTCATGGTGCTTTGAAAATTTTTTCATTATCTTTCAACAGTTTTAATTTGTCTAGGTGTGGATCTCTTTGAGTTTTTCCTTCCTGGAGTTCATTGAGTTTCTTGGGTGTACAGATTGATATTTTTCATCAAATTTGGGGAGTTTCTGGTCATGTTTTTCAAATATTCTTTCTGCTCTTTTCTTTCTTCTCTTTTTGGGGCTCCCATTGTGCATATTTTGGTGTTCTGTATTGTGCATGTGTTGGTGTCTGCTTAATAGTGTCCCACAGATCTCTGAGATTGATAATTTTTCTTCATTCATGGTTCTTTCTCTTCCTCAGACTAACTAGCCTTAACTGACCTTTCTTCAAGTCCACTGATTCCTTCTTCTGCTTGAAAATCTGCTTTTGAGCTCCTCTAGAGAGTTTTTCATTTCAGTTATTATACTTTTCAACTCCAAAATTTCTTTTTTGATTATTTTTATAAGTTCTGTATACTTATTGAGAACTTCTGTTTGATGAGACAGCATTCTCATACTTTAGTTCTTTAAACATGGTGTCCTTCTGTTCTTTGAATGTATTTAAAACAGCTGATTAAAAAGCCTTATCTAGTAAGTCTAATGTCAGGACCTCCCCAGGAACAGTTATTATTGAATGTTTTTTCTCCTTTGTATGTGGTATACTTTCTTTGTTTGTTTGTTTTAAATAAATAAACAAATTTATTTATTTATTTCTGGCTGCATTGGGTCTTCATTGCTGCGTGCGGGCTTTCTCTAGTTGCGGCCAGCGGGGGCTACTCTTCGTTGCAGTGTGCGGGCTTCTCATTGCAGTGGCTTCTCTTGTTGTGGAGCACGGGCTCTAGGCGCCCGGGCTTCAGTAGTTTTGGCACAGGGGCTTCAGTAGTTGTGACTCGCAGGCTCTAGAGTGCTGGCTCCGTAGTTGTGGCGCATGGGCTTAGTTGCTGTGCAGCATGTGGGATCTTTCCGGCCCAGGGTTTGAACCCGTGTCCACTGCATTAGCAGGTAGATGCCTAACCACTGCATCACCAGGGAAGCCTGTATGTGCTATACTTTCTGATTTCCTTGCATGACTTGTAAATTTTTGTTGAAAATTGGACGTTTTAAATAATAATTGGACATTTAAAAGAATCATGTGGCAGCTCTAGAAATGAGTTCCTCCACTTCCAGGCTTTGTGATTGTTACTTTTGTTCCTTCTGTTTGTTTTGTGGATTTTCTGAGCTAATTTGAAGTCTTTGAAAAGTATTCTTTTTCAAGTGTATTTATTGAAGTATCTGCTTGGTTAGATTTAATGATTGAGCAGAGTGTTCCTTAAATGGTTGGAAACAGTAAGTCTCCCAGACTTTGCCTCAGGGCTCTCTATGTGTATTGGGCCATGACGTTTAACACCTAGGTAGGCATTTTGTAATTCTGCCTTAGCCTTTACTTCCTCCTTGTGCAGACCTTCCGGGTTAGTGATAGGTGAAAGGTTAGTATCTCCTCTTGTCTTTGCTGAGTGGACATGCAACCCTGGGCATAGGCACAGCCTATGCATGCATATGGCCTTTTAGATTCCCAGGAACGTATTGGGGCTTTTCAAAGCCTCTGTGGATGTCTCATTCCCCACCTTTTCCCTTTAAGTTTTTTGGTTAGCCTACTGTGTGCCCCAACATTTGTTCATCGCTGCAGGAGGCTGATATGTTCAAAAATTGCCTATAATTGTTTCCTACAAATGTCTCTGGGGCAAAGATTTTCGTACTGGGCTAACTCTGAGTCAGGTCAAATAAGGATAGTTTTGAAAATGGTTCCTTCCAAGGAACTACCAGACAGATCAGATAATCATATTTCTCAGGGAATGAGACTCTGAATGAGCCCCAACCCCATTCTGCCCTCTTTTGGAGGCTGCCAGGCTTTGGGTGTCCACCTCAGTTGTAAGCTGTTGATATTGAAAGCTACCATGGATCTGGTAAGCAGGAGGTGGAATAGGGCAAGTTAAAAGACCATCAAGCTTCTGTTTTTACTGAGATTCAGCTGTTTTTCTTGTGTAAACACTCTCTGGATTGCTGTTTTCTTTTGGTTAATTTCTAGAGTTGATTCTGACAAATTTGCCAGTTTTCTAATTGGTTCTGTGGAGAGAATTTTTAGAGGCCTCAAGTTTACTGTATTGCTGCCTTCACCTTTCTCTTTCGTTTTCAGCATACAAAACATTATTTTATTTTGTGGTACTTATTTTTTATTTGGGCCACACTATGCGGCTTGCTGCATCTTAGTTCCCCGACCAGGGATTGAACCTGGGCCACAGCAGTGAAAGCTCTGAGTCCTAGCCACTTGACTGCCACTTGAATTCCCCTGTAGTACTTAAATATTGAATTTATCACCTTTGTATTAAAAAAATGAAGCAAAGCTGAAACAGTTACTAATTAATGTTTTCTTTTTCTTTTTTTTTCTTGTTGAATAATAACTATTAGACCATGTTCATTATAAAGCCATATTTCTTTGTTTCCAACAGGAACTATCATGTATTTTATTACCTCCTGGCAGGAGCAAGTGAAGAAGAGAGATTAGCATTCCATCTTAAACAACCGGAAGAATATCATTATCTCAATCAGGTAGGAGTTCATGAAAAGCATTTTGAAATGTAGGGCATTATTAAATTTTAGCTCTTGAGGAAAGTTTTATTTCCTAGTACTTTGTTTCTGAAACCTGGTTGCTAGCGGATATTAACTAGCATTTTCATGTATGCAATCTAAAAATCTATGTGATGCAGTTCTTAAATTTAAAAATTATTATTATTCTTATGTGAATTGGAAAAGATTAGTTATATGTGTACCTTTTGCTTTTTGTGAGACTCTTTAAGAGAATAATAAACTGTTTATAGATACTTCCAGTTTAGAAAAATGCTTTACTCTTTCCAAAGTGATTTACCTTTTACAGACCACAGCATATTAAATGTTACCAATGATTCATGCTTGCCCTTGTCAAAGGATTACTGAAACTTTATTTGCATGTTTGAAGTCTAATACATATACCTCTTTGCATGATATTATGATACTGACTTAGAGTATGATTATTTTTATAACTCAGTGATTATCCTATTAAACATTCAGTATGAAAATTCACTAAAGGAAATGACTTAGAGAATTTATAACTTACCTTGTAACTCAAAATTCACCCCTAAACTTCCATAATAAGTAGTAATTCTCACAACTTTTCATTGAATTGGTTTCTCCAATTTTATTCCTCATGTTAACAAAAATTCTAGAACTGGTAATAATGGAATTGGTCTGACAGTAGATCATTTAAATAATAGATTATTTCCCCTCATTTTTTTGTTTGAGGCAAGATGTAATGTCTATGGAAAGAAATTCCTTTTGGGTAATTTAAAAAATTCTTATGAGTGTTTTGTAAGGAAATTGACACTTTGATGTGGCTCGGAGATTGTAGTATGTATTTAGGGTTATGAAAGTAACATCTCAGACTTTTTGCAAGGTATAGAGCATGCTGTATAACTGATATTTCCTAATTTTGAAACTACATATTTATATAAGCTAATATAACTCTGTATTACTATATTGAGAATTTCAAAATTATGTTATATATCACTTCCCAGTATGATACTAGGCATTTTTACCATATTGAATTTAAGTATATTAAAAAAAAATCATTGATTTAGCTTCTGAGTATTTTCCTTTCCTTTCCTGTTTAAACTATTTGCCTTATATATGGGTGATTAAATATTTTCCTTTTTAAAAAGTAGTAATTGCCCATAAATGAGGTGATAGTTGTTAGTATTAGAGAAATCCAGAGTTTATTGCATCTCTTCCAGATATTTTTTGTAATCAGTGTCCGTACCATACATATTCTTGTCATAAGGTCAGTATTCAGAGACTATGGGACTCAGCAGTTACTATATTTCAGAGTAACTGAATAATAGCAAGTATGGATTGGTTATGATAATATATGATCTCCCAGAATCTGAATGTTTACTTAGTTGTTTCTTGTTTTGTGCTGGTATACAAAATAACTTTCTTTGATAACAGCTGTGCTATGTGAGCACTACATCTAAGAGGTGATTAGAGAAGTGTAATAATCATTACTTCTACCTAACTAATCTGCCTTACTTTCAGATAACTAAGAAGCCCCTCAGACAGAGCTGGGATGATTATTGCTATGACACTGAGCCGGTCAGTACAAGTGCCTAAATATTGTGTGTTCCTGTTAAAGGACCCTCACCTTGCTCATTTGCATCTGTCTTGTGACTTAGGAAGAAAATCAGCTAAAATACAAACAAAGAATCTAAGAAAGAAGATAAATCAATGTTTAATTTATTTGAATTGATTTATTTGTATGTGTATGGTTTATTGATTAAAAACCAGTTAATTTACCATTTTTGGATTGTTTTTGCTCTTTAGACTGTATTCAATATTTATTTTGACCAATAATAAATAGATTTCATTCCTGACTTCAGCATTGTTATGGATCCTTATGAACTATAGGATTTTTTCCCTTGAGATTTGTTTGTTTCAATTCTTTTTCAGTAGTTTAGTTACCCACATATTATGAGTAAAATTTATTGTTTATTTTAAGAAGTTACATCCTTCCTGTTTTATATGTCAGGTAACAGTCTTTTCACATAATGAATGCATACTTTTTTTTTTAATAGCAAGAGAGGCTATAGCCTGTATGTAGTTTTCCAAAAATTAAGAATTGAAATTCCTATAAATAAGATTATTTTATGTTTTAAATTGAGAATGATTTAAGGGCATATATGATGTAATGTAAAATGAGTAGGTAAAATTAGCTTTATTTGCTATATTTTGTAAGAACAAGTTTGTAATTGTAAAAAGAACACAAGAAGCCTTTTTCCTTTACTTCAGTTTGCAGTTAGGTCAGATGTGAGAGGCTGAAAACATGCACTCATCTATATTCATTAACTAATGAGCTAATTTATTAACCATTCCTCCTGGAAACATAATATGTCTTGCTTTAAATAACCATCACTTTAATTCTTACTGCATGTGATTACAAACTCCTCTAATTGCAAAACTATCAAGAGTTGAGAAGGATTAGTAATTATGACATTAATTTTTTCCTTCAGTTTAATTGCATTACCATTTCATAATAAATCAAGTAATTTGCAGTTTCAGATTTAATATTTTGGAAAATAAATTTTAGACACTTAAATTTATAGATACTGATAACTTTTAATGGAAAAATTTTATGCTGTTTTGTCACTCTTGAGAAGCTTCCATCTTTCGCCTAGTACACCAAGTGACTGTGTGTCCCTCATTGGGAAGAAGGTAGGAGACTGGGAAACTCATATGGTGAATATAAGACTTGACTGCCTTTACAGAGCTTATAGTGAAATTGTGAACTGGTCTGCTATTGTTTAGACAGTGTAAGTAATGCTTAAGAATTTTTGGGCTCTGAAGTAGATAGACCTGACTTGAATACTGGCTCCATCTACTTACTAGTTTTGAGAACCCAAGCAGGTCACTTATTCTTTTGTTTCCATCACCTATTTAAGGAATAATAATGGTCTTTAACTTTCATGAGTATTAAATTAGTGCATCTAAAGAGTTTGATAGATTGCTTAATACTGTGTAAGCACACAGTAAATGTTTCCCCCATCACTGCCACCACTGAAAACATCACTTTCCATCTTTTCCTCTTAGAAGAACTTTGTAACCGTACTATCCTACTCCCTTAATATTACTTTCATCACTACCCTCCCATTTATTACGTTTTCAAATCTATTATAGTTAGAACTTAGATTAATTTCTGTTGCTTTTTTTCGCAAGGTAATTAATGCAAACAAGCAGTCTATTTGAGGATCTTTTGTTTAATTCTTTCCTCTTAGCTCCTCCTTATAGTATATTTGGGGGCAAACTAAACTTGTTTCACTCTAAGTTATTAGAACTTATGTGACTAGCATTATAGGAAGAGAGATTATTAAGGAGGGTTCTGCAGTTTGTGTTGTATTTTTTAACATACATTATTTGGAATTGTATAAATGATCTCAAGAGGAGCTATGGTGAGAAAATTGCTTTTGACAAGGGACCTGTTGTTGCCCATTGTATGGTGATTTAATTCGTTTTAAGGGTTATCCTATTAATACAAGCTCAAGCAGCTAGTGTTTCATGGGAGATAGCAGAGGATTTAGAACTGGATAGATTTTGGTTTGGCCACCCCTGTTATTTAGGTGACTTATTTAACCTCTGAGCCTATTTTCTTCCCTATAAATGTACGTACAATTAAATATACATATGCATAATTAACTCCTTGTGTTTTGAGGATTTAGAGATTATAAATGGTAAGTGACTCTCATAATGACTGATATGTAGAAGATATTTAGTAAATGCTAATTTCCCTTCTTTAAATGGTAATAATCTATTCAAACAGTTTTATCTTAAAGCCAGTTCTGAATAACTTCAATGTAAACAGTGTCACCTAATTTAAAAATTTTTCTGAACTAAGCTTTGAATGATTTTAGGGTCCAACTATCAGGTGAGTTTAGTGAGAATTGCCAGAATAGGTCTCAGGATATTGACATTCCACCATGCTGCAGAGGATTAGAACTCATATCTCAGTGAGGCCATGCTTCCATCCTGGTCATTACTGCCTTTATAGGAACCCAACCATTTGTATAGTACCTGGCCTCCCATTTTTCCATGAGGTAGACCTTCTACAGGAATCCTGATGCAACTTGGGCAGGAATCTTTGAATTCATAATGTTTCCATTCTCCCTATTTTAAGTATTTCTACAACATAGCACTGCTATTCATTGTCTAACAGTTTATACATTTGTGGTCACTCCATTAAATACTGCCTTTTTGGCTTTATGCCAGTCCAATATGAAGGTCTCTGCATGCTGCACAACTTCCTTTGCATGTATTTTTTCATTTAAAAACCACTTTAACATCCATATTATGTTTGATCATTATAAAACCCCTGGTTGTAGTTAGTATGATTACCTTTCACACCAGAAGCAACAGTGGCTCAGAATTTAAGTGACTTCCCCACGGTGATGAAGCAAGTTAATAGTGTAATTGGGATTCAAATCAGGCTATGTTCTTTATATTCTTTTTTCTTAAATGATCTTCAGCATCTTTACTAATTCTCAAAGTCAATTATTCCTATTTATGTCCTATATTATCAACTGGTAGCTATAAAAAAGTATGATTTTTATAAACACCATTCTAAGAAATATATACAGCGTAGGAGAAAAATGTGTAATTTGACTCTGCTCTTCACTTTCTCTCCCTCATAAACGTTTACTATATGCCAGGCTTATTGTAGGTGCTTATAAATGAGAAAGCAGTCTCATCATCTCATACAAAGGGAAAAAAGGCTGATAGCATGAAAGAACATTTTGGTGTGTTTGTGGGGAGTGTGCAGTGGCGTGTTATCAAGTAAGACTAGAGCCTGAGCTAAGTTTGACAAGAGGAATCAACTATTTTCTTTCAGTGGAAAGGGTCCTAACAGTTGTTGGTTAGTTCCCTGTCTTATTCTTTGACCCTTACCGTTTCACTGTTTTCTAAATGACCTCCAACAGCCAGTATTTGTATCTTGGTGCTTGAAGGCTTTTCTCAGAACCCTTGTGCTCTTGCATGACCCTCTAGAAGTTCCTAGGAGTTAACAGCTTATCTCTAGAAGTCCTCAACCAATAACTCATGGGGGGTGGTATATAAGTGTTCCTGTTCCTTCACCTGTCTATTTTTTTTTTTTTTTTTTTCGCGGCATGTGGGATCTTCCCAGACCAGGGCACGAGCCCATGTCCCCTACATCAGCAGGCGGACGACTCTCAACCACTGCGCCACCAGGGAAGCCCCACCTGTCTACTTTTTATACTGTTTCCCAGAGATTACTTTGGGATTAAAGTCCAGTTACCCACTGTGGTAGCTACGTTAATATTGTACCCTATTTAGGCTACATTGCCTTCCCTACATTCCACTAGTACTTGTACTGAATCTTTGTCTCAAGGTCTGCTTCCATAGGAACTCAGATTAAGATAAAGATATTTCTGGTCTGGTAGGTTAGTCCATCCTTAGTTTTTCTAATACCATTGTCATCAGGGAAATACACATTAAGTACAAGCATTTAAAAGTTAATTATGATTTTGGTCTTCCCTGAGACCATTTTGTATTTCCGAAGAACAATTTGATTATAGATAACAGCAAGTATAAATGTATTTATATTTTAGTTCTTTATTCAGTTTATGTTCTCAATATTTTATACACATTGTTTTATTCATTCTTGGGGTAGGTAAGAACGACCGTCAGTTATGAGAATCATTACTGTATCATTGAGTTTACACAAGTGGAAGCATAGTTCTCTTTTTCCCCACTGATTTATTATAGAAAACTTTTTACTAAATCATAAAATGAGTGAGCTATTTGTGGTTTTGGGGGGAAGAAAAGCAGGAGCTTTTAAAAAGCTTTACTATAGGTAAAAGAAAAATGTGTTAACTTAAAATTTTTTAGTAGGTAGGATGTTGGCATGTCTGTAGAAGTATGTCTTAAAATTGCTTACCAAAATTTTATAGTCAGAAAATTAAGTACATGGGTTCTCAGAAAGAACGTTTCTTGAAGTGAATTTAAAAATTTAAACTATCCATATATACCTTTCCATAGAGAATAAAAATATTTTTAATAGCATTCTAAGACTTAATATTTAAATAAAAATTTTATTATTTACATATATATTCATTAACTCATTCTTACAGTGCCTAAAGCAAGTTGTACATGGTAGATACTTGATAAATACTTTTTAAAAAATAAATGGGCACTTTGTTTACTTCTCAAAAAAGAATATCTCATTCAGTCAAATAAATCATTCATTGTATATCTACTTTAATAATTTCCCACTTTCTTCTTGGCACTGACTTGATACTGGAGAACTGCAGTAAATGAGACAAGTAATAGTTCATGTGTTCATTGAGTATTTAATACAATATTTCATAGGAAGATAAGTATTAAAAAAGTAAATACATGTGAGGAGGTTTTTGAAAATGTTAAGTGTAAGGGACTGTGAGAACATAGTAAAGGGATTTAAAGACTTATTTATTGTTTTAAAGATTTAGATTATGTGTACAGTGTTACCGTTTGACTTTTGGGGGAAGTGAAATGCAAGAGTTGCTCTAGAAGAGTAGTATTTTTTTATTTGGTAGAGTCCATAACTATTTTACTGACTCATATCATGTGTGTTCTTTGCAGGTTTTTATACTTTCACATATACTTTTTTATTTTGTTGACTGATTACCATTATTAGGAATATAATATGTTATTTCTAATATTGATATAATATAAACCTCTTTGTATTATAAAAGTCTAGTCTCCACTTCTCAACTAAATTGTTGCCTGTTCTAAAATTTATTTTTGTGTCCCAGGATCTAGTTCACCTGGCATATGGGTAGACACTTATTAAATATTTGTTGAATAAATAACATTTTTTTGTGGAATTGAGCTCTCTTAAATGCTTTGGATCTCCAAGACTCTTCAGAACCACTCAGAATCAAACTTTGTATCAGAACATTTTATACATATTGCTAGCTCTTAAGTTACTTTTGAGATCCTTGCTTGGGTGATTGTAAAAGAGGGAGAAAAGATTACCTACTGGTATTTTTTTTAGGTGTGTGTTTAGTGTGCATACTTGTAGTAAGATAAGAGAACTAATGAATTTGGCAATGTCTAAATATTTCACCAGCTCTAATTTTTATAATAGGTATATTTATCTAAAATTACTATATTTCCACGTGGCTTAGATTACTTTTCAATAGGTAGTCTTGATTTTTCTCCCCCTTTTTTCTTAAAAAAACAGGATTGCTTCACAGTGGAGGGGGAAGATTTGAGGCATGACTTTGAACGCTTACAACTAGCCATGGAAATGGTAGGATTTCTTCCCAAGACACGAAGACAGTGAGTTTATTTATTGTATTCTTATAGCCTTGATAGAGAATAAATCATGATGTGTGTTTCAAAAATTCCTCTTCTTTGATCCTTTGAAACAGTTTTCTGATATTCCTGATCCAGTGCCTGATCCAGTTCCATCTTAAACGTTACTTAGAATTAGAAAATTTATTTTTCTAAAAGACTTGTTTTGAATTTCTTTCTTTTGTCATAAATCTTTGAGAGTCTGTTGAAAGTTGGAGTTCTTCTTCCTGTAAAATGTAACACATAAACATTTGCATATTATTGCAAGGGCTCATGGTGCCCCCCAAACCTCTCCATGTACCTTACCTAAAAACTGTTGCTTTGTAACACTATTTTATAACTCCTTGTTTTCTATATCATTGATCTTTAATCTTATTAAGACATGCATACATTTCAGTATAACATAATTTTTATGTATTTCAACTGTAAATTTATGTCTGTAGCATTGTGCTAAGTGTATATTTTTCATTGTAAATATAAAAAAGTAGAACTGTAAAAAGGTTGAGGTAAGGATGGAGTAAACTATGCTTAAAGAAGTAAATTATGTTTAAAATAAAACAAACTACTTTAAAGATGCAAATAACCTTAACCTTATAAGCTTTTTGAGAGCAGGGATTCTTAATTCATATTTATAAATCTTTTAATATTGAATTATAATATATTCAATTGTTTATAAGACATTTATTATTGCTGGAGACTATGCATCACATTTTTGTGTGTGAGAAACATTATTGTGCCGATTATTGAATCCAAAATTCTGAAATAGTGTAATGTGCAACTATATAAACTACTACTAAAAATAGTTTTTTTAAAAATGGCTCATTAAGTTTGGTTTTTTTATGTTTTTGGCTTTCAGTAGTTTTTATATTTCAGTTGATACTGAGTTTCCTCTCTAGCCCAGAATGTTTTTGTGAAATATTCCTTTAGAATTGACTTATATTTTGTTTGAGTCGTGTTAATGACTCAATCATTTAAAAATTTTAAATTATTTGAAAAATTACACCTATGAATTAGATGTTGCTTCGGACCTCCGAAAGTACAGCTATTAGGTTCCTAACGCAATATCTTTGTTTTATTTAAAATGCTTCCTAATTTTAGGAAAACACAGTTAAAATTTCTTAAGTAGAACAGATTTATTCTGAGGAAATAACTGGAGAAGGCACAAAGATGTGTGCATATATAGATTTCTAGGAAGGGCTTTTAGATGGAGTATTCAACTGTGTTAAACGCCTTTGAGATATCATGTAAGTTAAGGACATAATATATTTTTCTAAGTTACATGGAGGTTCTTGGTAACTTCTATGAGACATTTTACTGGGAGGCAGATGCCAGAATGTGTTAGCAAATAGGGAATGACAAAGTGAAGGCAAGGAGTGTAAGTTAACATTTCAATAAGCTTGTTTATGAAGTGAAGAAGATGTAGGATCTAGGATGGGTTGTTTAAAGTAAAAGAGAAGTGAGATTATTTTGATAGAAAGTTCTTGTCATGTTCAGGGTAGAGATAGAAAATTGGTATAATAATGTTCCAGAGTAAACTGAGTTCATGAGATGTATAGCACAAGCGTAGGGATTAGTTGTTGGCTGGAGGAGGGTCATGTGTTCTTCTGAGACAGGAGGGAAGGACAGTCCAGATGGAGATGTTTCTCATTAAGGCCTGATATTAGATAATATATCCCAGTGGCCTCATACTGTTTTTTAAAAAGCATTTATAATATGATGGGCAGTATAATATGATGTAGGAAAGCATTTTAAAAATATAACTACAAATAAAAAATCACCTAGGTTACTTTGTTAAAATACAGATTCTAAGACCTTTCTTTTAAAGATTCTGATGCAGTAGATCTGAAATAGTGTAGGGAAAGGACATTCCAGGCAGGCGTTTAGAAAGTCCATGGACTTTTGAAACACTACGGCAGGTTCAGACAATAGTAAGAAGTCCCCTTCAAATAGCTATATTTGACAGGTGATATAATTCTGAAAGGGTTATGTAAAGCGCTTTGCACAGTGCCTGACATAGTGAACACTCAATAAATTTTAGTTATTTTAGTTATTATTATCCTATTTCTTATTTTTCTGAAGACTAAATGCTTTGTACTGGTTAATTTGCTTGATTAGAATTCTGGAATGAAATAAGCTTAGAGAATGCACATAAGCAAGCTGTAATTTATGGTTTTATTTTCACAGGATTTTCTCTCTTCTCTCAGCAATACTACATTTGGGTAATATCTGTTATAAAAAGAAGACATACCGGGATGACTCCATAGATATATGTAATCCTGAAGTTCTGCCTGTTGTCTCAGAATTATTAGAAGTAAGTGATTACATTCTCAGTTGTCATTTCAAATACTGGGTAACTTTTCAGTTTTTATTTTGTGTAACTATTTTGTAGATATAAATGGGTTAATACTTTTTATTAATAGTGTTACTCCAAAAGTTGAAATTTCTGCTATTGTGTGTGCCAGAATCTTTAGAAGATTTGGATTTTCTCCCCTGCCTCCCTTTGCCCCAGATATCCATGATTCCTCAATTTGCTGAATAGGATGAGTGTTTTACTCTATACTGTATCATGTTCTAGGCCTTTGTAATTTTTCTCTTTCTATATTTGAGATTTCCTCTCATAGTAGGATGTTGGTTAGATTATTTTATTTGAAGATGGGTATCTGGATGGGTGGAGAAAAGGGTACTACTTTTTCTTTCTTCATGGCTGAATGGGAGCCAAAGGTCTTCATCTCCTATGACGTTTCTTCCCACATCAGGGTCCTTATTATTACCTTATTCTTTCTTCCTGGAGTGATGATTTCTCATGTATTCTGAGCTATCTACTCATCTTAAAAGGGATATGATTTTTGTAGGCCCTCTCCTCTGACAGGAAGTATATGTGTGTATACTCCCCTGAGTATATTCACATATCTACAAATATTTTTATGTAACCATCTATATCTATATAAAGATAAACATGATCTGCACAGCAAGGGAAACCATAAACAAAGTGAAAAGACAACCTACAGAATGGGAGAAAATATTTCCAAACAATGTAATTGATGAGGGATTAATTTCCAGAATATGCAAACTGTTCATACAGCTCAATATCAAAAAAACAAAACAACGCAGTCAAAAAATGGGCAGAAGACCTAAATAGATATTTCTCCAGAGAAGACATACAGATGGCCAACAGGCACATGAAAAGATGCTCAACGTTGCTAATTATTAGAGAAATGCAAATCAAAACCACAATGACGTATCATCTCATATCGGTCAGAATGGCTGTCATCAAAAAGTCTGCAAATAGTAAATGCTGGAGAGGGTGTGGAGAAAAGGGAACCCTCTTGCACTGTTGGTGGGAATGTAAATTGGTGCAGCTGCGATGGAGAACAGTATGGAGGTTTCTTAAAAAACTAAAATAAAAATAGAGCTATAATATGATCCAGCAATCCCACTGCTGGGCATGTATCCAGTGAAAACTCTAACTCAAAAAGACACATGCACCCCAATGTTCATAGCAGCACTATTTACAATAGCCAAGACATGGAAGCAATGTAAATGTCCATTGACAGTTGAATGGGTAAAGATGTGGTGTGTACACACACACACACACACACACACAATGGGATACTACTCAGCCATAACAAAGAATGAAATAATGCCATTTGCAGCAACATGGATGTGCCTTGAGATTATCATACTTAGTGAAGTAAGTCAAACAGAGAAAGACAAATACTGTATGATATCACTTATATGTGGAATCTAAAAATACAATACAAATGAACTTATTTACAAACAGAAATAGACTCACAGACATAGAAAACAAATTTATGGTTACCAAAAGGGAAAGTGGGAGGGAGGGATAAATTAGGAATTTTGGATTAACCGATACATACTGCTATATATAAAATAGATAAACAACAAGGACCTACTGCATAGCACAGGGAACTGTATACAGTATCTTATAATAACCTGCAATGGAAAAGAATCTGAAAAAGAATACATATTTATATAGTGTATATATATAAATAAAACTGAATCACTTTGCTGTACACCTGAAACATTGTAAGTCAACTATACTTCAGTAAAAAAATAAAAATTAAAAAATAGATAAACATGAGATTAAGTATATTTTATGTAATAATATATAAGTATAATTAAGTATAATAAACATGAGATTACGTTGTTTATAATTAATCCATTAGCACATGTATCATTCTAGCCTTCTCTCCTTGCTTATCTGTAAACTCATACTCTAACAGTGAGGAAGCTGTCTCCCATCAATCTGCCATTCATTTAGGTATTGAATTCTAGTATACCTGTAAAGCAATATTAGAATTTTTAACCCATATCCCTGTGGGAAATGACTTTATGGAGTCATGTTACCCCTAGTTTTACAGACTCCATTTATTTCCAGAATTACTTAGGTCAGCACCTTTTCCTCCCACCCCCTTTACTGAGGTTGTTCCATATATTTGTCCTACATTTTTCATGTCATGGTCTGTATTCTTTTCCTAAGATTCCCACAGCATCTTAAGTAATTTTCTAAAAATTTGTATACATTAAGATTCACTCTTTTTGCTATTTGGGTTGTGACAGATGCATAATGTTGTGTATCCTCAACTACATTATCATACAAAATAGTTTCACAGCCCCCAAAATTCCCTGTGTTTCACCTATTCAATCCATCACAGCAAACTGCTGATCTTTTTACTAGCTCTGTAGGTTTGCCTTTTCCAGAATATAACATAATTAGAGTCATATAGTATGTAGCCTTTTCAGACTGATTTGTTTCACTTAGCAATATACATTTAAGATTCATCTGTGGCTTTTCCTGGCTTGATAGCTTATTTCTCATTATTGCTGGGTAATATTCCATGGTGTGGATGTGGTTTATCCATTCATCTGTTGAAGAGCATGTTGATCATTTCCAGTTTTTTGCAATTATGAATAACCTTTTTTTCTGTTAAAATATCACTTACCTTTCAAATCTTTGTTCATATACTGCTTCATGGGACTTAACCATATTAAAGGGTCTAAACTGACTCTATCAGCATAGAACATTTGCTTCTCCTTAGCGTAGTTCAGTACTGCCTTGTAGCATAGAGTTTACCAGTTTGTGTCCATTATAAGGTGGTGGCAATGTTCTTTGAGAGCAACGGATGCCTCTTACTGATCTAACCTTACAGTGTTTATTATTTTGTACATGCCTTGCTGTTGCTTATTAACTTTAATGGAATGAGTTAGCCTGGAAGAAGGGTCAGGAGGGAGTACCTTGAATTGGAACTAGATTCACTCACTGGAAAGAAGTTCCAGGGTGTGGAGTGTGGTATCTGAAAGCTGTAATTTTGAAGGTCATGAGGGTCAGAAAACAGATGTATTTCAGGCAGGCATTTCAGGTGATATTTTAGTCAAACATTTGGTATTGTGGCTAGTGGTCTTTCTTATAAGTTCAGGCATTCAGCAAGTACCAAGACTTCTGGTCCTAGTGCAGTATTACTTTTTTTGGTGAGAGACTAGTAAGAGGAATTCAGGCAATTTAAAGAGGTATTGGTAAAAAAAGGAGAAATCCAATTCTGAGAATTGGACTCACCAGTGTCAAAGTTAGAGTAACAACTAAATGTGATTTGATAGCAAATCTCACTTTTGAACTCAAGCTTCTCAAATTCCTTCTTGTTATATATAGTTTGGACTGGTTCTAGGAATGGAGGTTTATTAAGTAGAAAGAAGATAATCTTCAAAGTCAACGAGCTAGAGAAGGTCTGAGAAGACCTACCAGGGTATCCTGCCTATGGTTAGATCTTATTTTTATTTATTATTATTATTTATTTAAAATTTTTTTTGGCCGCGCGGCTTGTGGGATATGAGTTCCCCAACTGGGGATCGAACCTGGGCCCTCGGCAGTGAGAGCGCAGAGTCCTAACCACTGGGATGCCGGGGAATTCCCATAGTTAGATCTTATTTTTAACTATGATTTTCTCTGATTGATTAACATTGATAATGATAATTGGAACCTTAAGGCTTTCATTGAAATAAGATTGAAAGATAGGCACAATAACTGGTTTAATTAAAATGTAAACTCTTTAGTAAAGGTTTAATTTAATTTCCCTCCTTCCCAAAGTGATTCAATTCAATAATAAATATAGATTTAGCTTTTAAGAACAAATAATGGTTTAATTTTATTTATTTTTCCAATTATTTTTTGTAGTTACCTCAGGCAGTAGTGAATGGTTTGCATCTTCTGTGTACTAAATCCTATGTGGGGTAGATGCTTGTGAAATTATTAAAAGCAAACAAGCTCAATAGATTAGTTGTATTTAATTGTGGAGCATGTTTTTGTTGTGAAATATTAGAACCATCATCACTACCATAAATTATTCAATTTTTAGTACATTTATGTGTTTTGAGTATATTTAACATCTATTGAAACAATATTAAAGAATGAATTTTTAATATACGTATCAGTTTCTCAATTAGGTGAATATGAGAAACATTGTAGATTGGATATTGAGCCCATTGCTAATTATTAATATTTTGTATTAATAAAGTTTATTTATTTATTGGCCTCAACACGTACCTTGCAGGATCTTAGTCCCCGACCAGGGATCATATCTTGGCCCCGGCAGTGAAAGTGCCGAGTCCTAACCACTGGGCTGCCAGGGAATTCCCTCAATAAAGTTTATTTAAAAAATTTAAAGTCATATATGCATGATTGACTATTCAGAAAATTATAGAGGTAGCTGATTGAAATATGAATTCAGTAATTTTTTTTAGGATGTTTATCAAAATACAAGCAAGATTAGTGTGTTTTGTGTGATTGTGTATATGTGTGTAGATCTGTGTATGACCATTGTCAGGTTTTAGTGTCAGCATTAAATCAGCTCCTTAAAATGAATTGGGTGGTTTTTCATTCTTTAAATTTTTTTTTCTGCATTTAAAAGAGGAATCATGGGCTTCCTTGGTGGCGCAGTGGTTGAGAGTCCGCCTGCCGATGCAGGGGACACGGGTTTGTGCCCCAGTCTGGGAGGATCTCACATGCCGCGGAGCGGCTGTGCCCATGGGCCATGGCCCCCGGGCCTGCGCGTCTGGAGCCTGTGCTCCGCGACGGGAGAGGCCACAGCAGTGAGAGGCCTGTGTACCACACAAAAAAAAAAAGCGGTAAAAAAAAAAAAAAAAGAGGAATCATTAGCAGAGAATAATATGTTCCTTAAAGATTTGAACAGTATCAACCCTGTGACCAATTGTATCTGATGTTCTTCCAGTTAGTTTTGTGTTGACTGATTTCTCAGAATTTTCAAATCTGGCTTGAATTGATTTTGATAATTTATGTTGTTCTAGGAAATAATTTGTTGATTAAATGTTTAAAACTTATTACTTTTGCATTCTTTGTAAATATTTTGTTGATGTTTAAAAATTTTTTTCTATGGTATTAGCTTTCAGCTTTCTATTTGTGTTTCTTAATTTTTTCTTTAGATATGTGAGATTTGTCTTATTTACTTATTATGTAATGATTTCTATTTTAATATGTTTTCTTCTTTTTTTCTGTTAAATTATGAAATGTTTTCAGCATACAATATATGTGGAAAACAGCATGATAAATACCTGTGTACTTGAAACCTCATCCAAGTAATAAAATATTGCGTGTATTTGAAGTCCACTGTGTACTCTGCCCCCAGCAGAAGTAAACACTACTGTGAATTTAGTTTTTTTCCAGTTTTTATTAATTGAAATTTTAAATGCAGTCGAAAGCCGAGACAACCCCAAGTACCCCTCATATAATGAACATAACCCAAGTACCCATTGTTAAGCTTCATCACTTATTAATGTGGCCTCTCTCTTTTCATCTGTATCTTCACCTCTGTTCCTTCCCAATTCTTTTAAAACAAATTCCAAAACAAAATCCCAAATATCTAAAAGATAATTTAGATGTTTTAAAAATATTCACAATAGTTAAGAACCTACTGTATAGCACAGGGAACCCTACTCAATACTGTGTAATGACCTGTATGGGAAGAGAATCTAAAAAAAGAGTGGATATATGTATATGATTAACTGATTCACCTTGCCGCACACTTGAAACTAACACAACACTGCAAATCAACTATACTCTAACAAAAATAAAAAAAAACTTCACAATATTATTAAAACACCTAAAAATAATTAACAGTTGTTTTTTAGTCTCAGACATACAGTCAGTGTTCAGATTTTCTTTTTCGTTTATGATTTCTCTACAGTTTCTTATTTTTCATTGAGTTATAATTGACATACAGCATTAGTTTCAAGTATAAAGCATAACATTTCAATATTTGTATATATTTCAAAATGTTCACAGTAAGTCTGGTCGACATCTTTCAGCATAGATAATTACAAAAAATTTATTTTCCTGTGATTAGGACTTTTAAGATCAACTCTCTTAGCAGGTTTCAAATATGGATTACAGTTTTTATTAACTGTTGTCATCATGCTGTACATTGCATCCCCATGACATGTGGCATTTATTTTATAACTGGAAGTTTGTACCATTTTGACTTGAATTTAGTTTTTGTCATTCCTATTCTTGTTTTTACACTTTCAGAATAGGTAGATGTTTCTTTCCATAAAGAATATTTAGTTTTGTTGTTCTGCATGTTTTCAGACTTTATATAAACGTTATACTATATGTATCATTCTAAAACTTGACTTTTTCACTTCATATTTTGTTTTTGAGATTTTTCAGTGCTGGTTTATATAGTCTAGATTCTTATTTTTAGCTGTTGTATAAAATTCTATTATATGAATAAAACATAATTTATCTTTTTTAGTGGGGAGTGAAGTTGTTTGTAATTTTCCATTTATAGATAGTACTATGACAGGCATTCTTGTACATGTCTCCTTGTTAACATGTGTGAGAATTATTCTAAGGTATAGTCCAAGGAGTAGAATTCTTGGGTTATGGTATATACACATATTGAGCTTTACTGATACAAATTACTCTCTACATGGTTGTACCAATTTATACAAGTGTATGGAAGTAACCTATGCTCCACGTTGTTGCCAGCTTACATTTGTTTGTTCTTTAAAAAAATTTCTTGAGTCTACTACATAGGTCATTTATGTTAAAATATTTTAATAATAAATGCTTACATGAACAAATATACCTCACAATAATACTACAGTGGTTTTTAAAAAAAATTATTTATTTAATTTACTTATTTTTGGCTGCATTGGGTCTTCATTGCTGTGTGTGGGCTTTCTCTAGTTGTGGCGAGCGGGGGCTACTCTTTGTTGTGGTGCGCTGGCTTCTCATTGCAGTGGCTTCTCTTGTTGTGGAGAGCAGGCTCTAGGCACATGGGCTCCAGTAGTTGTGGCACGTGGGCTCAGTAGTTGTGGCTCGCGGGCTCTAGAGCGCAGGCTCAGTAGTTGTGGCTCGCGGGCTCTAGAGCGCAGGCTCAGTAGTTGTGGTGTGCAGGCTTAGTTGCTCCATGGCATGTGGGATCTTCCCAGACCAGGGCTCGAACCCATGTCCCCTGCGTTGGCAGGTGGATTCTTAACCACTACAGCACCAGGGAAGCCCCTACAGTGGTTTTTATCACATATGTTTTTTCTTTGTCTTCTTAGTTTTCTCATTTTGTGTAATCTGGTACTAATATTTTTTTGTTGTTGTTCCTTGAAATATTTTAAATATATCTGAAAGGTTGAGGTTTTACATTTAAACTTTGGCCGTTCATTTTGTGAAGTTAATGTGCCTCAAATTGTTTCTATCTTTTGGAATTTGAAGATTGAGCAATGGATGCTCCAGAAGAAGGTGTATTTTCTTTGTTGTGTAATCATATTTTAAAAATGGTCAACCTGTCATGAATTTGCTGGTGACAGGGTAATGCCTCATTCTCTTGTTTTATAACTCAGTTTCTCCTTGTACTCTAGTCTTTTTGCTTGATATATTTTATTTCATATTGTTTACATAAAATTTTATGAATGTCAAAGCTTTATTATGTATGGATGCTTTTATAAAATGGTCTTGTTTACCATTTCATGCCCATCAGCATGGCAAAAACCAAAAGTCTGATGATACCAAGTATAGTCAAGGTTTGAAGAAGTAAGAACTCTCAGTGCTTCTGCTAGAGAGAGCAAATGGGTAAAACCCATATACAGGAGTTTGGCAATATCCTGTAAAGCTGAAAATAGGTACACTACGACCTGGTAATTCCACATTCAGGTATGTACTTCAGAGAAACTCTTGAACTCACATGCAAGAGTATTCACTGCAGTTTATTTTCTGATGGTGCAAAATTGTGAATAGCATAAGTGTCTACAAGTAGGAGAATGGATTGTGCATGGTGGTAATTTATATAGTGAGATGCTATATAGCAGTTAAAACGAATAAGCTTGATCTAAATTATCAACATAGATCTCAAAAACGTTTGTAATATAAAAACATGAACTGAAATTATACATATATATGTATGCGTGTGTGTGTGTGTGTGTGTGTGTGTATAAAAACATGAACTGAAATGATATATGTGAAATTCATAATTGTATTGGCCTCTAGAGAGAAAGAACAAAGGAAGCATCAACTTTATCTTAAACATCTATAAGTGAAAATAAACATCTGAAACATCAATAAGTATCCATTATAATATCCCTGGAATTCAAAAAGTATTGTCACTTTTTAGTCCTTGTCTCCAGGTTGTGGGATTATGGTTGATTGTCTTAAAATATTTTTTGTGCCATTCTGTATTTTTCATATTCTGCACGATGAAACATGTTTCTTTATTATGATCAGAAAGAAAACTTTAATTAAAAAAGACCCATCTTGGGCTTCCCTGGTGGCGCAGTGGTTGAGAGTCTGCCTGCCGATGCAGGGGACATGGGTTCGTGTCCCGGTCCGGGAAGATCCCACATGCCGCGGAGCGGCTAGGCCTGTGAGCCATGGCCGCTGAGCCTGCACGTCCGGAGCCTGTGCTCTGCAATGGGAGAGACCACAACAGTGAGAGGCCCGCATACTGCAAAAAAAAAAATAATAATAAAAATAAAAAGACCCATCTGTCTTATTTACCCTTTGTGTCTTTTTTATGGTGAAGTATGGTGAGTGGGACACTTAAATTCCACTTTGGCCAATATTTAAATTGCCCAGTGTATTGTCTTTTTGTTTTTTCTCTGTTGCATATTTACTAATCTCAGTAATTTTTTTTCTCTATTTGACTTTTCAATAAATAATTCAACCATAGTCATAAATCTTTTATATTGAATTTACTTTTCCGCTGTATAGGTTAAAGAAGAGATGCTATTTGAAGCACTAGTTACAAGGAAGACCGTGACAGTGGGAGAAAAGCTTATTTTACCATACAAACTGGCAGAGGTATGAATAGATTTTCTTTGAAATCAAGGAACTCTGAACATTTTTAGAAGTTTAGGTTTATATTTATCGTGAACTTTCTGTCAACTTGGAAACTTAAAGTTGAATGTAATTTTAAGCAATACACTTACATTTTTCTCCAGTGATCTCAATCTGATCACCGTTTTTAAGTTTCATAGTATTACTGTGGGATAAGTAGATGGTAGGTAGAATTATAAATGAGCAGTCCTTAACCCAAATGATTATTCCCTGTTGAGCACATCATATCTTCCAGCACATCTTACTCTTTTGCTTTACTTTTTCATTGTTGGCCACTCCTTTGCAGTTCTTTTTGTTTGTTTTTTCTTTTCTTCCTGACTTCTTAAAGATTGGGTGCCCTAGGACAGTCTTTGTCTTTTCTTCTCTATACTCTTTATCTAGATTTTCTCACTTAGTCCCATGGCTTTAAATATCATCCGTATCGTAAGGCTTCCAGGTAAGTTTTATTGCTATAGTGTGCCAATATTACTATTATACCACTCAGGTATAGGAGTAGGAAAGTTATTGAAAAACCTACTATTTTATGGTGAAATTTTATGAAAGTGTTGAGAAATCAAACTGACAATTATAAAGATAGGACAGGAATATGAGATTGGAAGTCAGAGAGGTGGGGAAACAGTGATTTAACTGTAGAGAATGTCTTCTAGGCAGACATTGATTAATTTATGCCATTGATCCATTTATCCCATTTTTGGGGTCTCTCTTAATTGTACCTACAGGTCCACATTTCTTCATTATGTCAGGTATCTTATATCGTATTTTATAGTTGCCAGCTTTGAGAGCTCCTTTCTAGACAAGAGAAAAAGCCAAACCGTTTTAAGAGTTTTGTTCATCTTTTACATAAAAGTTCAATGCTTTTACATTTTCTTTCTCAACTTTTTTCATTATTAAATATTTCTTTATGTTTATTTACGTGTTTAACATTTTGAGATGATTTTTGTAGCCCCTGCTTTATTTTTGTTTATGTTTGTTCGGTATATTTATTTGTTTAGTAAATATTTGAAAACACTTTTTGTGCCTGGAATTGTGCTAGGCATTATGAGTAAAATGAAGAGCAGTCCTTAAGGATTTTAGTATTTTGTCTGAAGAGCAATGGAAAGAAATGTTTCAAGCAAAAAAGTTGCCTTAGATATTTTTTTAAGGACAATCTGGCAGCAGTGTGAAAAAATCAGTTGGAGGAGAGCGTGTTAGTTTTCTATAGCTGTGTAACAAACTTAGTGACTTACTATAATACAGATTTGTTATCTGACAGTTTCCATGAATCATCAGTCTGGGCACAGGTTAGCTGGGTCCTCTGCTCAGGGTTTCACCAGGCTGAAGTCAAGATATTCATGATGGCTGTGATCTTATCTGAGACTCAACATCCTCTTCTAAGTTCATAGGTTGTTGACAGGATTCACTTCCTTGCAGTTGTAGGACTGAGATCCATAATTTCTTGTTGGCTGTTAGGGGCCATTCTCAGCACCTAGAGTCTACTTGCCATTTCCTGCCATGTGGTCCTGTACACAATATGGCAGTTTGCTTCTTCAAGGCCAGCAGGAGAATCTCTGATGGATGGGCTCAGTCCCTAGTAAGTCAGCTCTACCCAAGACAGTATCTCTTGGGTTAACTAAAAAATTCAGCTGATTTTGGGCCACAATTATGTCTTTAAAATCCCTTCACCCTTGTCATATAACATAAGATAGTTATGGGAGTGAAATCCATCATTTACAGTCCTGTTCACACTTACTGGGAGAGGATATAGAGAACATGCACACCTGGCGATGGGAATCATTCTAACCCGGAGGGCAAGAGTGAATGTGGAAAGATGAGTTTGGAGGCTATAGTAGTTAGTACTCCTGAGGAGAAAGATGCTTGCTGCTATGTCTAGAATGGTGACCTACTGATAGGGAGAAATGGATGTATTTAAAAAGAAAGAAATTTAGATGGTAAAATCAACAAGATTGGGCAATGATTTGCTTAGTGGGAAGTAGGGAAGAAGAAGGAGATGTCAAGGATGAATCCTGATTTTCTGGTACACACAACTGTAGAATATTGGTACCATTCAGTGAGATAGGAAACACTGAACGAGATCTTGTTTGAGTGAGAAAATAATTAATTGGTATTTGGGCTTATTGAGGTTAAGCTGTGATAGGCAGGACTGCATTTCAGAGAAAAGAGGCTAAAAGTATAATATTGGGAGTTATGGTGTAAATAGGCATTATATTTGTATATTTGGTATATTTGGATTCTTTATAAATCTTTTAATTTGATATGGAGGTTTGTCTTTTAACTACAAAATTCAACTCATTTATATTCATTGTGATAACGAACATGTTTTCTTACTGTGTGTTGTAAAATATTTTGCTTTTGCTGAATTTAATCAGATCGTCTTTATTCTTTTTCCCCTCCTCTGGGGAAAATAGAATGGTTATTCTCTCTATATATTCTACTATTGATTTTCTTTTTATTTTAAAGATACTTGGTTATAACTTGCCTAAGAATAGAATTTAAGGGCCACATCCTTTTTTCTCTCAGAACTTCTAAAACGTTTTCCAATTATTTTCAAGTATCTAGTGTTGAAGATAGAGAATTTAATACCTGTCTTCTCTTTCCTATGTAGGTGATAGTTTAGGTAGGTAGTTTTTGTTCTGGAAACTTGAGGGGTTTTTTTCCCACTGAAATTCAGAAATTCATTCATCATCTATGTGTGGTCGGTTATAGTATTGTCTCCATTTTACAAATGTAAAAAAAGCTGTAGCCTAAGAGTTTAAGTAACTTGACCAAGGTCAAATAGTTGGAATAAGTAGAGAAACCGGGACTGGAAGATAGTCTAGCTCTTAATCAACACTCTCTACTTCCTTTAAAATTAAGAACATAGATATAAATATGTACCTGAATATACAAGCTTCAAAATAAGTCCCTAGATGAGAAGTACATAAATAAGGATTTGTATTCTTTTAAGTTCTAGGACTCAGCTGTCTAAGATACGTGCCCCACAGCCCTCTTTTTAGGCTGTGGTACTTTCTAAATGTTGGATTTTCTTTAAGTAATAGACTTCATTTTTTAGACTAATTTCAGATTTACACAAAAATTAAGCAGATAGTACAGAGAGTTTCCATAAACTGGGGAAAGCTTGAGGTGAGGGGAAAAAGTAAATCACATAACTCCATAATGAAAGAATTGTTACTGTTTGGGGATGGAGAAATTCTAGAGGTTACTGTGGATGACAAGCTGAAGACAGCCAGGAGTGTAACTGTGGTGGTATGACTAGGATTCCACAGATAACTGATGCCTTTTTGATAATTGATTCCTATGTCTGGAATACTCTTCCCCACTTTAGCTGGCAAAGTTCATTTATTTATAAAGTTCCTATTCTACCTTCTTTACTAGGTGAACTATATACCCCAGTTTTCAGTAAAAGTGTTTTGAAATGTGTGGACTCATGTTTTGTTTCCTTTATCTTTCATGGCAGTTTTAGCCTGGATTCCCTGAGTTGGATTAAATTAATGAGTATATATAAAAAACTTCAATTATAGGTTATTTATATTGAAAGAAAAATTAATTTCTAATTCAGGATAATAATCTTTCTTTCTTGAATGAGAGCAAAACACTTTGTTATAGTATCTTAGTCAGATTGTTGACAATTTCACTTAGACTCCTAACTTTTTTTTTTTCCAGGCTGTGACAGTGAGGAACTCCATGGCTAAGTCTTTATATAGTGCCCTGTTTGACTGGATAGTTTTTCGGATTAATCATGCACTTATGAATAGTAAAGATTTGGAGCAAAATACCAAGGTAGACATATATTGGTTTATAATATATTTTTCCTGAAAAACTGTTTTAATAAAATGGGTAATGCATAAAATTTAAAAACATAGAATTATATAGAGTAATAAGTATCACCTTTTATCTGTATTCCCTGCTATTTCTCTCCTTATTTCTGCTTCTATGACCCTATTCAGCGAAACTATTCTGTGTGTCTTTCCAGAGCTTTTTTCCTATGTACTTACATTCCTATAGATGTACATGTACAGAGTTGCTTTTAAACATAAAGATAGGATCATGCTATCTGTATTGTTTCTAATTTGTATTTTTTTTTACCTGGTTATGTCTTGAAATATATCTAGACCTCATTATTTTTAATATTTAAATGTAAAACGTAAATATTTAAATGTAAAATTGTTCTTACATGACCTTTTCATGCTTTAAGTGAGCCCATAGGTAGAAAGTTGATTTTAATTCTAATCTAATATACCAGGTTGACTTATTTTTTTTAATTAATTAATTAATTTTATTTTTGGCTGCGTTGGGTCTTCACTGCGGTGCACGGGCTTCTCATTGCAGTGGCTTCTCTTGTTGTGGAGCACGGGCTCTAGGTGTGTGGGCTTCAGTGGTTGTGGCACATGGGCTCAGTAGTTGTGGCTTGTGGGCTCTAGAGCACAGGCTCAGTAGTTATGGCACATGGGCTTAGTTGCTCTGTGGCATGTGGGATCTTCCCGGACCAGGGCTCGAACCCATGTCCCCTGCATTGGCAGGTGGATTCTTAACCACTGCACCACCAGGGAAGTCCCAAGTTGACTTATTTTTGAAGATCATTATTTTCACTGTTTTTTGTAAGGGCTTAGAATTAGTTAGCAGTATTAATCACACAAAATACTCTTAATGGAGACTTTTAAAAGTCTCTTACTATTTAACACTCATTACATCAGTTTGCCCAGTATCTCTCTTAGCACCAGTGGAGAAAAATTATTTTCATTTAATCAAAATTGTCATACAACTGTATTTTAAGAATAAGGTGGGGTGTGGTGAGAAGAATGGTGGTTTGGGATATTAGAACTGAATATTTATCATCCATAGTAAGAAGTTAGAAGGTAATTTCTGGAGGTAAAATATCAAGAAATAGAGGAATAAACATTTTTTACTATATTATACTATTCTTTACCAAACAACTAAAAAGATTTGAGCATTGACTTTACGGAGCAGAAATTGAGGGTGGTGAAGGGATTGTTGTTTTTGGTTGTAATCCTTTTAGAACTGTTTAATGTCATAAATCTTGTGTGTTTCTCTTTTTTTTTGATAAAAATTTTTAAAGTTTTAATGTCAAGAAACCACATATTCTGATATCCAGTTTCATTTCTAGCCTGTGTAAGACTAATTAAACATACCTGTTAGCTTGATTCTTAATGCAGAATTTTATTGGGATAGAGAAGTCAAACTAGGAAAAATTGCATGATCCTTTTGGCATAACCAGGCATAGCTAGGAGTAACCTAGCTTTACTTTAGTAACCTTCTGACTTTCCAATAGCCTGTTTTTCCCTTCGCTGTCTCTTGGGTTTTAGAGATTTGTGATATTGAGGTAACAGGTCATTAACTCTGCTTTGTACATTTCTGTAAAGTAATCAATGAATTGCATGTGTTAAAACTTTGGATCTATTTTTATAACTAAGATAAAAAGAAAAAGATGAAGAAAAAGAGAACTAACATGCTTTTCATTTGTAGTATATTTTGACTGAACACTGGCCCCCCAAGTTTTCCTCTCTACTGCTGTTGAAGAGCATTTTGTTACTTATATTGTGAATATTATTCATGAAATAAATTTGAACATCCTTTTTTAACCATAATTTTTTTTCCTGTTTCACAGACTTTGTCCATTGGTGTTCTTGATATTTTTGGGTTTGAAGATTATGAAAATAACAGCTTTGAACAGTTCTGTATTAATTTTGCTAATGAACGCTTACAACACTACTTTAATCAGCATATCTTTAAATTGGAGCAGGTGAGTACCTGAATGTGTGTACACTTGCCCCCTTCCTGCTCCCTAAACCCTAACCCCCACCTTCACATACACACATAAATTTTTGAGTCATAGTCGTGATAAGTATTTTAAGTGTTGTATTTCAGTACAGATATTATTGACTTCATATTAGTGTAAGCAAATGACAGAGCAGAGCAAAGTTTGGGGGCCTTATCACACAGGATTTTCTTTTTTGTTTAATAGGCCTCAAGTATTAGAATCAATAATATGTGCTTGTTTGACTGCACCTTTGAATGAAAAAATATGGGTTTGTTTTGAATTTTTGTTGATGTTTTTGATTTTTAATTGCCGCCATGGGCTTGGTCACTGTGTGTGTAATGTTAAGTGTGGTTGTTGGATTCCTTTGATCTCTTAGTTCGAGGATGGGATAGAGGAGCTTATTAACAGAATCTCACATCAGCTCAGAATGTGGATACAAAGAAATAGGACAGTGTAGAGAGACCAAAATGAGTAACTAGATATTTCTTGTGAGAAGTTCAAATTGACTGAATTAGTGTAGAAAGAGCAAGCCATCAGTTTCTATGAGAATTCTTAGGGTAAATGCAGAGTTGAAGGAAATGTGGGCTCTTTCTCCAAGTCAAGTTTGAATTCAGTATAACAAGTTGAGATTGTAGCCCAGAATTTCAGTTTGTATAAAAAGAAGCAGGGTTCACATTCAACTCAAAGGAAATAGTGAAGAAAATTAATGAACAGAAAACCACAACAGGTCTTTCCTGTCATTGAGGCTTGCCGTCCTCTGTCCTGGCTTTAAGCACTGCTGTTTTACTTAAAGAGTTATAAGGACTGATTAATATTTGCACAAACGGCATTAGTCTTGGCCATTTTGATGATTCCTTAAAGTTTTTAACACATGACCTTTTAGCTAGACTCTTTTATAGAGCTGTTAAAAGATAGTATTATTTGTTATAATATCACCTAACATATATGTAGTGCTTACTCTTAAGTGGGTACTCTTTTTATTCTGGTGTTGCAAATGATGCCTAAAGCCTGTATTCAAAACACTCTGGCTTCATAATTCTTGCTTTTAATCAAAAGTTGAGCTGGGATTGGTTTCTTTACTCAATCCAGTGTTCTTTTTACTAGATTATGCTAAATCAGTATTTTTATCTCCTCAAACGGCTGTGTGTGTTGGAGGGGTGGAGGAATGCATTTTGTTGACAGCGTTTTGTATTTTTCAAAGAAAAGCATCAATTGCTCCGTGGATCATTAAACAGAAGACTGGTTAAATTGCTTTTGAAGAAGAAAGGTGTTCTCTTATTGCGAACTGAAATTATTCTTACCTTATTTAGAAGTCTAGATTAGCCATGGAGGAGCCACGAGAAATGCCTTACCTAGAAACACGTATAAAAATAAAACCTTACAGTTGATGGAAAATGTATTCAAAACTACTTGGTGCGTGGGTGGTCCTCATTTATTTGCTACCCTGCATATCATAGTTGTGGGCAATGTGGTGGAATTACGGATCAAAAGACATAGATACTAAGGTATAGCTTTTTTTTTCTTTCTTTTAAGTCTCAGTATTTTCTTCTGTTATTTGTGATGTAATGGGTAAGCTTTTGATGTAATTTATGGAAAGCTTAGAGAAAATTTATACTTTTTGCCACCCCATCTTTTTTTTTTTTTTTTTTTTTTGCGGTACACGGGCCTCTCACTGTTGTGGCCTCTCCCGTTGCGGAGCACAGGCTCCAGACGCGCAGGCTCAGCGGCCATGACTCACGGGCCTAGCCGCTCCGCGGCATGTGGGATCTTCCCGGACCGGGGCACGAACCCGTGTCCCCTGCATCAGCAGGCGGACTCTCAACCACTGCGCCACCAAGGGAAGCCCGCACCCCATCTATTTTATTCTTCCTTTCTCTCCCTCCTCATGTTTTTCTACTTAAAATGGATTTTCTGGAAATAAGAGATTTAAGTCAGTTTAAATATTGAGTGTTTTACTTGTGTATCACTGGTCTGGTACCTGTTATGAGATGGGTACTCAGGGACTATTTGTTAAATTCAGTTGAATAGAGAATCAGAGAATTCAGTTGAGTAGATTAAATTTTTTGAAAAAATAAAACACAGAAATAAAGAAGTACCAAAGATGCTTTGGGAGGAAACATCTTGAAAATCTTGATTACTGAAGTTCACTTCTAAATTTTGCCCAAAATTAGTACATATGCACATAGGATGGGAGAGAGATGTAATAGGTGCCATGCAGGATGATAGGTATAAGGTAATCAGATATAAGGTAAAGTAGTGATATAAAGGATGAAATTGATTAGAAACTTACTGAAAGTCTGCAAAGATTTCCCAGGGGTGATTCTGGAATAGAGTTTTGAATAGAAAGTTGAGCTCACCAGACTGTCAGTGGGGAAAAGATATTTTAAACAAAGGTAGCAGTATCTTTAAAACTGTGAGGCATAGAATAGCACAGCAGTTTTGGTGAATTGGAAATGATTCAATATAGCTAAAATATAGGATATAAGGATGGAGGCAGGAAGGGAGATAAGTTTGATGAAATAGCCTGGGGTCAGAGAGTTGTGCAGAGAAGATTAGAATTTTTCTTTTAGAGAATGAGGAGCTATTTGAAGTATATTTAGCAGAGGATTTGAATTGGAACTGTGGAAGATGGATTGAAGAGAGGTGAACTGGAGAGAAGGACATAATCCATGAGCCAGTTGAAGTAGTATGGGAGAGTGATTCTGAGTCGTCAACCAAGGTATTTATAGAGATAATGTGGAATAAGAGACAGACGAAAAGAGGTTTCTGTGATTTGAAAATCTGTTTCCTGGTATCATTTGTAATACTGCTCTTTTCTTATTTCCTTTACTTGCTCAGAATTATTCCTTAGGTCATTGATTCCTCAGTAAATCCAATAACAATTATGTATCAGGCACTGTTAGGCATTGAAGATAGACATTTTAGAGTTCAGGGATCTTACTGTGGAGTTCATAATCTAGTGAGTTGTTCTTTTGTCTATCCCACTTCTGGGGATGTCAGACTAGGAAATTTTGACGAAATTTCCTTGCAGAACACCTAAAAAAAAACTGAACAAAATATATTTGAAAGCATTGGAGTACCTTCAAATAAGTGAAGTTTTATAGGGCTTAGATATGTAAGCACGAAACCCAGGGAGTTGAGCCCAGCATTCGGGGACTGCTTTGTTCCTAGAGACATTTCTGTTCTGGTAGAGGGCTGCCAGATTCTGAAAGAGTCAGGCTTGAGAATCTGAGAAGCCTAAATGGGTTTTCTCCAGATTAAAGAACAAGGAGGAACCCCCTGGCAACTCCCACAGGCTTTAGGTTGAAGACCCCAATGGGTTATATCTTAGAGTAAAGGTAAAGCAGAGATAGAGAAGGCATCATAGGGGCTGAAGCCCAGTTTAAAATAATCTCAGTTCTTGACTGGGTTAAAATAGTGTAGAATTTCCAGTGTTCTTAGCCACCTGCCAAGAGCAAATTCAGTCTCCAATGGAGGAAGAAATCATTCTAGTGCTAAAGTTATCTCTATACTTTTTCATATACAAGCATTCAGTTTTTTTTTTTTTTCTTGCGTTATGCGGGCCTCTCACTGTTGTGGCCTCTCCCATTTGCGGAGCACAGGCTCCGGACGCGCAGGCCCAGCGGCCAT